CTGGGCCCTGCTCCCCGGGTTTCCCTTTCGCGGGCGCCCGCCTCGGCCGGGCCGGGGTACTCCGTGCCCGCACTCGCCCGCACTCGCGCTTCCCTAACGCCCGCCCGCCGCTGCCGGCCCCACTTTCACTTTCGGTCCCGGGGCTGACAGGCCGGCGATGGCGGCGGCGGCGGCGCGAGGGTGAGCAGGCCAGGCCCGGGCTCCCAGCGATGGTGCGGCCGGGCGGGCGGCTTCTGGGAATCCTACCGGCAGAGCCGGGCCTCTGCGGGCGGGGGAAGGCGGGGGGGCGCCCGGCCTGCTCCTCAGGAGCGCGCTGTCCCGCGGGAACTCTGGAGCGAGCCCCGACTGGGCTCTGAGATCCGCGAGGGGGCCCGGGAGGTCGAGAAAGGACCCTGACCTTGGGCTAAGCCCCTGGAAGGGGCGAGCTGTAGGTGTGGTGGAGACCTCTGTCCTCTCAGCTTCCTCGGTACTTGTACATAATTCTTACTCCTCCACCTGGCATGGGCTTTCCCCACAAGGGCTTGCTCTTTGAGCCCACTTTACAGCAGGTGCCTCTCAAACTTGGTGGGCCCCCCAAGTTCATCTGTAAGAAGGATAAGAGCGGACACTTTCCCTACCTCACAGCTGATTGGGCGCTGCTTGGTGCCCGTTGCATCTCTGTTTTCTAGTATGTGCTGAAGAAAAACCGGGGGTGTCTGGGGGTGGGGGGTTGAGGGGAGGCAAGCATGGCAAACTTTACAAAACTAGGCAGGGTTGCCATTTCCTGGAGGATTTGGATCAGGTAGTGTGTTTTCCGGTGGGCCTACAAAGGGATGTTCCAGTGTGTTAAAACGAACCCTTTAATTAGTTACCAGCAGTGGCAAGCTAGTTTTAGTACTTAAAGATGGAAAGGAAGTGTACTGCCTCCGAATCTATTTTTGCCATCCACAGGATTTCAACAGAGGGCCATGATATGCCCAGTTGCCAGCGGCTTCCTTGATGAGATGGAGTCCAGGGCGTTCTAAATGGAATTCCCAGAACTTCCAGCCTTCCTGCCTGGCATTAGGAACCTGCTGCCCTTGCCCAGGGGTAGTGACTGAAAGGAAGAGACTTTTCAAAACTTTAGGGCAGGGACCTTAGTACTGTAGCAAGGTGTGCTCTGAGCTTGTGTGTGTAACTGGCTGATTGAGCTCCTTGGGGATGCCTCAGACGGAGCTACCATTAAAAGCCTGTTGGTTCAGGATATCCAGCCCAGAGCCTGTATTTGTCCTTCCCCTTGCTCATTCCCATATGGCCATAATGGCTGGGGCTGAGTTGTTCTGAAGTCAGCAGCTTCTTCCAGGTCTCCTACGCAGGTGCGGGGTGCCTAGACTTTAGGCCATCCTCAGTTGCTTTCCCAGCCACAAGCAGGGAGCTGGATGAGAAGTGGAGCAGCCAGGATACACACTGGTACCTGTATGGGATCCCGGCGCTTGCAATGTGGAGGATTAGGCAGTCGAGCCATTGAACAGGTGTTGTGAATCTTGATACTGTGCAAAGGCAGAATGAATAGCCTGTCCCATGGACAATCAGAAAGTAAAAGCACAAAGGTCTAAGTACAGAACTCGGTGAAGCAGGGAAAGCCGCGAGGGTGTAATTACACAACTGCACTGCGAGGACTTGGCTGAGCTGTGCTTCACTGCTGTCAGAATGGGAATGCCCGAGTGTTGATAGGAAGTAATGTGTGAAGTGTTGGGTGCCTTGAGGGACCCAGTGCTGCTGCTGCTTTTTTCCTCCTCGGCATCTGTGCTTTTTTTAAGGTGTGCGTGGTGTTTAATTTCAAGCAAAACTGCACTGTCCTGTTGAATGGGCTGCAGCTTTCGAGAGCCTTCCACATCCCTTTTAGAGAATTGCTCCCAAGACCTGACTTCAGGAGGTGACTCAGCCAGGGCTGAGGAACTGCTGTGTTTTCACTCAGAACCATGACTATGAAAAGGGAAGCCAGCCAAGAAGGGGGTGTTTTACAGAAGGGATCACAGGTAGCTGGGGTTCACAAGAGAACCACCTCTGAAAGCCTCGATTCACTCCGCACGGTTGGTCCTCAAGTCCCTCTCATGTGAAGGGGAAATACAGAGACAAACATCCCATTGTCTTCAGGCATTTACAGTGTAGTAAGGGACGAGTGGCAAGTATATTTGAGTGAGTTTCCTAGGCAGCAGTCATGTGGATAGCAGAAAGCATTCCCAGGGTTTCCTCATTGGAGCTGTGTCTTGAATGAAGGACAGAAACTTGTTGAGGAGGAGAGAGCCTTCTAGAAAAATACTGGCACATTTTGTGAACCGCCAAAGCCCGCGGCGAATCCTAGGGTGTATGTAAGGAGGTTGTGTTTTGTGATAAGGCCTTGGTTTCCAGACTGTGGGGCATGGAAAGCCTGGTTGCCCGGCTAAGAAATCTAAGGGGGGGAAGGGGGAGAAGCCTTTGAAATAACTGTGTCGTGTAGAAATCACCATGTTTAACCTCCTATACTCGGCGGTCGCCCATGGTGTTCCAGACCAGTGGGACACAATCTCTGCCATGGCAGGCTGAGAACTTAGTAAGCAGAAACACATGTGGGAATGACTCAGCTCTCTGTAGACTCTTCCAGGTTCTAAGAACATCGTCTTCCTAGATATGTCATTTTACTTTTAGGGAAGATTTATTAAGGAAGCTCGCATCCTTTATCTGCCGACTGTGGGTGAACAAATTCTGACACTCCATCCTGCTGGAGACAGAATCTCGCTCTCCTCGCCCTCTTCATGTTTCCCCACCCTTAAGTCTTCTATTTAAGCTGCTACCGCTGAGCCCTGCGGCAGCCATAAAAACCTTTCTGTTGGCTCAGAACCAGTTAGAATTCTTATACGTCTTCTCGGGCTATTGGAGAATACTGGGACTCTCCCAACGTCTTCACAGGCTTGAACCTGTCTCCTTCACAGAATGAGGAATGCACCTGTAAGCCAGTGCTGTCAGGAATTCCTGGTCAAGAAGGACACAAGCTCCCTGTACTGTCTAAGTCTCCCAGTCTTCCTGACCCCTGTGGTTTGCTGAGGAGAGGAGGCAGGATTTATAACCATCTTGACATTTAAACTTCAGTTTTCTCCAGATTGCTTAACTGCAAACTCCTTTAGTTGGTTCCCAGATAAAAGCACAAAAACAAAGGCAACCTGTTTCTCCTGCTCATGCCTTTCTGGCTCATCTGGGCAGTGTCTTTTGACCTGGGATTATGGTGTCGCATCCTTTCTGTTTAGCCTCTAGATCCACTCTGCAGGGGAAGCAGAAGATGCATCTTTATATTCTTTTAACTTAAGAAGTATTTTTATTTATTTGAAAGAATAGGAGAAAGAGAGAGAGAGAAGAAAGAGAGAAAGAAAGAGAGAAGAAACCCACACTAGCCAGGCTTGGGTTAGGCCAAAGTCAGGATCTAGGAATTCCGTTCAGGTCTCCTGTGTGGCAGGGTCATCACCTGCTTCCTTCCGGGGAGTGAGTTAGCAGGGAGCCAGATTGGAAATGGAGGCAGGACTTGATCCAGGCAGGTATGGGATGCAGGCCTCCCAAGCTGTGTCACAATGCTCACCCCCAGAAGTAGGTATCTTTAGCTGTGTGTTTGGAAAGGCAGTAGGAGTGGCAGAGCAGGCCACCTCAGCCTCCCCCACCCCTCCTGCCCCGTGATCTTTGTGAAGGGTCCGCAGTGCAAGGATAGCTCCTTTTCTCATCTGGGTCAAGTGTCCAGGAACCAGAGGAGTTTGAAGGAGTCAGGGCCAGCTGCCTGAACTCACATGGTAGGGGTCCCTCCTGCCAGACACCCATTGAAGAAGTGTAACAGTGTAAGAGAGAAACTATGCTTGATTCCTAGGACACAGATTGCCACCACTCTGAAAATCTGCATCACTCTTATGTCCCCTGGCCTTTAAAATAAAGGCCAAGATGCAGTTGTAGGGTGACTGGCAGCATGCTCTGGGGGTGATCTTGGAGTTTTCCCCTCTTTGCCTTGCCCATCCTCCATCAAGTCCACTGTTGCCTCTGTCAAGCTTCACTCTTTGTGCTTTGGTTCCTGCCCTAGTTTCATCAGCCTGTAATGATTTCCAAGTCTGACAGTCTCAGCTCTTTGGAATGTAATCTTCCCAACACTGTCTTTTATTGTCTTTCTTAAAATACTCATTTTTAAAAAAGTATTTTATTTATTTGAAGGTTACCATAAGAAGAGACAGAGATTTTCCATCTACTCATTCATTGTTCAACTAACTGTGACCTTCAGAGCTGGGCCAGCCTGAAGCCAGGAGCCAGGAACTCCATCCAGATCTTCCACATGGATGCAGGGATCCAAGCCCTTGGATTACCTTCTGCTGCTTTCAAAGGCTCATTAACATACAGCTGGATTGGTTGTGGAGCTTAAACTGGTCTCCACATGGGATATTGATATTGTAGGCATCTTCTTAACCTGCACAATTCCGGCACTATGTGTTCCACATTTCTATAGTGTACTTTATTGTTCATGTATGAATGTTTTCCTTTGTAAAAAAAAAAATTGGGAAGCTAACCCACATGGGAGACCCAGAAGAAGCTCCTGGCTTTGGATCAGCTCTGTTCTGGCCACTTGGGGAGTAAATGAGTGGATGGAAAATCTTTTTCTGTGTCTTTCCTCTCTGTAAGTCTGATCTGCCTTTCTAATAAAAATAAATACATTTTTAAAAAAAGTAATTTACTTATTTACTTGAAAGAGTTATAGGGAGGTAACTCACAGAGAGAGAGAGAGAGAGAGAGAAATATCTTCCATCTACTAGTTTACTCCCCGATTTCTGCAATGCTCAGAACTGGACTGGTCCAAAGCTGGGAGCCAGGAATTTTTCCCATGTCTTTCACATGAGTGCAGGGACTCAAGGCCTTGTGGTCTCCTCCACTGCTTTCCCAGGCCATTAGCAGGGAGCTGGATTGGAAGTGGAGCAAGCCAGAAGTAGAAGCAGAGTCCCATGGGATGCCTGTGCCACAGGCAGAGGATTAGCGTGTTGGCTCCTGTTGCCCCCCACCCATCCCCAGGCCATTCTTGGCTGAGGGAAAGATCACTTGGGGCCTGACACCACTGCCCCTGTACCTGACTGCTGTACAAAGTTGCCTTTCTTCTGCTGTTGCTGCTCACCATCTAAGCCTCCTTGGCCTCCTGTCTGAGGGTTCCTCAGCTTGGGAGGTGTGATGGGAACCCAGGCTCATCTGCCACTGAAAAGCTAAGACCCAGTGCTTGCTCTCTCCCTGTTTGTGCTGGGCAGCTTGGCCAGTGCACCTCGGCACAGAGAGCAGGGCTTGACCAGGAGTAGGGGAGAACTTTATAGTGGGAGAACTGTTTTCCAGGGCAGCTTCCTCCTGGGTCTGGCCATAGCGGGGCATGGCAGCTGCAGCAGCTGTTTCTCTGATGTGTTGGTGGCCATCTCTTCTGCCTGTATGGCTGGGTTTCTGAATGTCCTGCAATTCCATGACCCAGTTAGGGAGCTGCTCAGCATCTTCTGATGATTTCTTTCTGGCCTGTGTCAATACTTCTTCTATTTTGCATTCAGCTGGGGACCCTGAGAGTTTAAATGTGAAGGTCAACTGATGGTGTACCTGATCAGCCTCTCTCTTGTAGGAATCCATAGCACAGGGCATTAGCCTTGCTCTCATGAAAATACCTAGTACTTCTGGAAGTTGGTTTCTATCTGTGCTCGGTAAGGAATTCTGAAACGGTGCTGTTCTTGATTGCATCCTAATGACTTCTCGGTTTTGTTCTTGCTGTTGTGCTTTGGTGCCACTCAGTAGGTTGAGCAAGAAGATGGTGTCGCTGCCCCTTGGAAGGCCATGTACCAGCATGCCATTCCTGCTTCCCTTGCTTGTGGCCCTCTTAGTCCTATCATGTCCCTCACTGTGTCAGAGCCATGAAGCAACATCTCCCAAAACAAGGCACGGGACACCGTTTCCATGGGACAAAATGAGGCTACCCGAGCATGTCATTCCGGTTCATTATGACCTCATGATCCATGCAAATCTCACCACGTTGACTTTCCGGGGAATCACGGAAATAGAGGTGACAGCCAGTCAGCCCACCAGCACCATCATCCTACACAGTCATCAGCTGCAGATTGCCAAGGCCACCCTCAAGAAGAGAGCTGGAGAAAGACTGCTGGAAGACGCCTTGGAAGTCCTGGAGTATCCTCCCCAGGAGCAAATTGCACTTGTGGCACCTGAGCCCCTCCTGGCCGGGCTCTCCTACACCATCGTCATTGAGTATAGCGGCAACCTGTCTGACAGTTTCCATGGCTTCTATAAAAGCACCTACCGCACCAAGGAAGGGGAAGTCAGGTGATCTTTTTTTTTTAATAAACTTTTTAAACTTCCAGTGCTGCTCGTATTATTAAATTGAAATTTATTGCAGGTGGGTTGCTTTTTAAAATTCTCTCTGTTGGCAATTTTGGTTTGTTTTTGCTCTTTTCATCTCCAATCATGTTCCTCCTTGCTTTGCTTCATTCCATTTTAACCACTATTGTTTTCCCCTCCAGCTAGATAGACAGGAGGCGCCTCTTTGATTTTAGAGCCATAATGAAATATTAAGCATCTTTAATTGTCCTGGCCCCTGCATTAGGAGTGCAGGGAAGTAGGGAGGAGCTGCCGAGGACCATGCAACTCCCCTCAGAGCTCAGGAAGCGCTGACGTGGAGGCCTGAGCCACCCCACACTCCCTGTGGTGTTCCCTCTCAGAGTCTGGGGAGACCCCTCCTGCCTCCTGCCCCTTGATGGTAGCAGACAGTGATTGTTGGCACCCCTCATGTTGCAGTGGCACCACACTGACCTCTGCCACCATTGGCTTACGGCCCCGTCAGCTCCTTCTGTCCAAGTGTCCATTGTTGGATAAGGACATGGTCCTATTGGATTGAGGCGCAGTCCAATGGTTTCATTTTCACCTGATTATTCTGATTATTTTCACTTCTGGTCGCCTCCACAGACACTGGGTAGTTGGACCTAGACGCATCTTTTGGCATGGGGCAGGGGTGAGGGGGTCAAAGTTCAATCCACAGAGCCAGGATCTTTCTCTCCCACTTGGCTTCCTGGTTTTAAGGAGAGGATTTACTTGTGGGAGGAGATTTTATCCTCAATTTTAAAATCAAATTTTCTTTGGTAGTAGATTATACTAACTCTTTTTGTTGTTGTTCTCATTCCGTATTATTTTATCAGAATAAAAAAAAGTGCTGACAAAACTTTTTCAGTGGCAAATAATCACTGCTTTTGTTGCAGCAGAGCAGACTTCTCCCTCAATTGCATAAACATTGTATTTTTGTAACTGGATTTAGGTTGTCTATTTCCAAAAGAATTAAAAAATTTTAGTATGTTGGAAAAAGTTTTTTTTTTTCTCAATGACCATCACTATGACTCATTTTAATGATCTTATTTAGATATGATTGTGCGTTCATTTATTTATTCCTCTTTGGATGGAAATTTTAAATCATTTCCAAATCGTCAGTATCACAACACTATGACGAGCTTGCTTGCAAATCATTTCTTCAGAATCAATTCCCAGGAAGACACTTAGTAAAGCAAGGAGTGGACACATTTTTGACATTTCTTCCTGCATTTTTTAGCTGATGCTGTGTGTTGGTAAACTTTTTAGAGCAAAAAGGCGAAAGAAAAAAAAAAGATATCTCTCTTTAATTTACAATACTGTGGTTAAACAAGTTGGACAAGTTTTTATGTATTCATTACTCATCTGTAGGTTCTTTTGGTGACTTGCCTGTTTAGGACCTTAGTTTAAGATTTCCTCTGATCTTGGGTATTTTACTACTGTTTAATGTTGGGTATCTGTTAAGCTATTAACCTTTCCTCAGATGCTTTTCCTTGCATTTTTTAAAACCAATTTCTGACAAGACATCTAACTTATTTTGTAACAGCTTTTGCCATGTGAAATGAGTTTTTAAGTAGTGTAATCCATCAATGTTATGTAACTTGCACAAAACCACCCATTTTAGAATTCCTGGTGTGTCATGCTCAATTTTTATCTCACTTGCCATGGCTTAGGGTCCTTGCGTCAACCCAGTTCGAACCCACTGCCGCTAGAATGGCCTTTCCTTGTTTTGACGAACCCGCCTTCAAAGCAAATTTCTCCATAAAGATGAGAAGGGAGCCTCGGCATCTCGCCATCTCCAATATGCCGCTGGTGAGTACGGGTCCACTCCCGGCGGGCTGGGGAGGGTCAGTCCATACTCTGTGACGCGTGTGAGCCCAGGGACACGTGACACCCAGCTCTCGTGTTTTGTTTGTTTTCTTGCCTAATAGGTAATTACTTTGCTTTTTTTTTTTTTAATGCTGCAGTTTATTTTGAAAGCCCCTAAGCTTTGGGTCTAAGGTTTTAGTGAGAGTGACATTCCGGGCCCTTGGTGCTGCTTGACAGGACACCATGGAAGGAATTTGGGTCAGCCTGAAGGGGCACCACCCTCCACAAAACACTGTCACCCTCATTCCCTCGGATGCCTTCTTAATGCTCTCTGCTCAACAAAGCTGTGTTTCTAAGATATATTTTCTGCAATTTCCCTACACAGCATACTCATGGCAGGGATACAATTTATAGTGAGATGTACAAAACGGAGCAGGCAGATAAAGAGAACAAAAGTAGTCTTCAGAATCTGATGGTCCTGAAGGGAAGTCAGTGTAGTTCCCTTGAGAAGACCCATTATCTTCCATTTCCAAAGCAGATGTGGACAGTGTTCTCTCTGACCTTTCAAAGTGGTGAGAAGGTGACAGTGCCAAATGCATGAAGTTGCTCACGCTCAGGGTGTCCCATGAGGCTGCATTCCAGTAGCTTGCACAAGCATCAGCAGCCAGGCAGTTGTCCTTGCACTTGGTGTGTGCTGGCTCCAGGGGAATGCATTCTTTTTTCACCACAGGTTAGAGCCAGGAGGGCCAGGTTTTCCCAGGGATCTGCAGGATGTTTAGCTTCATCTCTGTGCTGAGCAGAGGTAGAAACCCTGACCCTGAGAGCCACAGACCAGCCTCTAGTGTATGCCTCACTCTGGAACTCTGCACCTGCCTTCAACTAACAAGGGATCTAGTCTCACATATACAGCTGTCCCGCAAGAGGGCTGTGCCCCAAAGAGAGTACTCTGCCCAGGGCCAATGCAGTGATATAGCATACTAAAGTCTTTGCCTGCAGTGCCAGCATCTGATATAGATGCCAGTTCAAGTCCTGGCTGTTCCACTTCATATCTGCTCCCTACTTGTGGCCTGAGAAAGCAGCAGAGGATGGGCCAAGTCCTTAGGGCTGCATCCATGTGGGAGACCCAGAGGAAGCTCCTGGCTCCCAGCTTCAGACTGCCCCAACTCCTGCTGTTGCAGCCAATCGGGGAATGATGCAGCAGATGGAAGATCTCTCTCTGTAGTTCTGCCTTCCCAATTTAAATAAATAAATCTTTAAAAATAAATAAAAAAGAAAGCATCCTTCTCAACCCAAAAGGCCAAGGGCATTTGTCCCCACCCACTGGGTACATGAAAAGGTGAGAAACAATTATGTAATTTTCCTAATACAGAATTTTTAAATTAATTTTTATTTATTTGAGAGGCAGAGAGATAGACACAGATAGATCTTCTATCTGCTGGTCCATTCTCTAAATTCCAACAGCCAGGAGAGGGCCAGGTTGAAGCTCAGAGACAGGAATGCCATGCGGGTCTGCCAGGTGGGTGGCAGGGACCTAAAGTACTTGAGTTATCACCTTCTGCCACCCAGAGTGCACCTTAGCATGAAGCTGGAACCAGGAGCAGAGCTGGGACTTGAATTCAGACACTCCATTTGGGGTGTGGGCATCCTAAGCGGTGTCCACGCCAAATGCCAGCTGCCGAATATAAACATGAGATACAGGGATCTGGCATGGTAGCCGAGCAGCTAAAATCCTTGCCTTGCACGTACCAGGATCCCATATGGGCGTCGGTTCTAATCTTGACGGCCCCGCTTCCCATCCAGCTCACTGTTTGTGGCCTGGGAAAGCAGTTGAGGACAGCCCAAAGCTTTGGGACCCTGCACCCATGTGGGAAACCCAGAAGAGGCTCCTGGCTCCTGGCTTCAGATAGACTCAGGTTATTTCAGTGAAGGGCAGGTGGAAGGAATTGGGAAGGAATTGGTAGAAGGAATTGGGAAAAAAAAAAAAAACAGCTGGTTTGGGATCCTTTGGAGAATATACCCGTGTTGTCTGGCTGAGTTCATTTGCCTGACCCATGCTGTGGCTAGTGGCTGGCAGGTCTTCAGAAGAAAGGCATCCTATGAAAAGTAATGGGATGTGGATACAGTGAGATACTTCTGAGTCTAGAAGAGGCCCTGCAGGGTCTTGCTTTTATAATTGAAAGAATTGAGCGCTATTGGCTAAACAACTTTGCAACATATTAGAAGTCACTGAATTGTGTACATTAAAAATGGTGAATGTGACTTATACCTCTATTTGGAGAAAAAACTGGAGTAGAGTGGTATGACTCTGGTGTGTCTGCTATCACAAAGCACTGGAAAACTTGTATGCCGGGCAGGGTATTGACATGTCATGCTGTGGGCTTGCCCTGCTGTGTCTGGTCACTGGTGAGTCACTCCTTAGGATGTGCTCAGGGTGCCAGCCAGTTGGCTGCCTTGCTCATTGGCCTTTCCCTGACTGCAGGTGAAGTCAGTGCCTGTTGCTGAAGGACTCCTGGAAGATCACTTTGATGTCACGGTGAAGATGAGCACCTACCTGGTGGCCTTCATTATCTCTGATTTTGAATCTGTCAGCAAGGTGACCAAGAGCGGAGTGAAGGTGAGCCTGTGACCGACACTTAGGGTCACAATAGCTTGTCCTGCTTTGAAAACTCAGAGTCCCACGTCTCGGGAAACCACACTTCCTCCCACCCACCCTCCAAGTCTTAGGCAAGCTCACATGGTTGGCTGCCCTGCTGTCCCAGATGGTCAGCTTAACAGTAAGTGTCTCATAACAAAAACGTTGATAGAGGCTGGCCTGGCTTCCATTCTGGTCTGAGCTCCAGGATTACCTGGGGCTCTGACCTTGGCCTGGCCCCCTCTGGGAGACCTGGTTTGTACTTGTTTAGAATGCACGAGTCAGGGGAGGCCCTGCTGTCGCTTCTCAGAGGGGTTTGGCAGTCCAGCTCTGTGTGGCTGGGAAGCAAAGGTTACCAACCCTCTGAGTAGGGCATCCCCAGCTGTGGCAGAAAGTAGATAGAGCAACTGGTTTGGAGCAGTGGAAAGCTCAGGAGAGTGCTTGGGCCAGAGGTAGTGGGAGGAAGACCTTGCTCCCCTTCCAGGGCCCCTTGGTGCTGGTGCTATTGTCCAGTGGCATAGTGAGCAACCTGTGCAACTGTTCTCCACAGACGGGTCTTTGTGGCAGAGGGGAGGGCCTTGCAGTGGAAGATTCTTCATCTGTCTGTGTTGGTTTCCACTGAGGCTGCCTGGGGAGAAGCTTCCCCCTGTATTCCACTTGGACTCAGCCCTCTGATTCTTGCTGACCTGCACAGCTGTCATGAATAGCTGTGGTGATGCTTGACACCTGCAGGGCGGGAACACGCTCGCTCGGTTCCACGGGGAAGCCCTCAGCGAAAGCACCTGCCCCTGGTTGGCCCTTGCACTGGATCTTAACAAACGATTCTCTCCATAACACCCAATCCGTGCTAGGCACCTTCTATTTTTTTTTTTTAACCACGTCACACAGATTTTATTGCAGTGTTCCTGGTAATTGTCACTGTCTGAAGTCTCTGAGCATCTGATTCTGCATCTCCTTTCTGCTGCTGCTTGCTGGGGGGAGCCTGGTTCCTTTGTGGATAGAGTGAGTTACACCTGTGAACTCATCTTGCCTGCGTGAAAAAAGTCTCCCAGGGAGAAGTGGTGATGAGGAGTATTTAACAGCCCCTGGGAGGCAGTAGGGAGAGAAAGATTAACTGCAGGTTTTGGCATCTAAGTGACGGGAGTCCGCAGGGTTAGCTTTTAGTCTCAAGCTCTCTCAGGAACTTTCCCCACTCTCTTCCTCTGCTAATAGGAGGCTGAAAAAGAGTCTGCATGGCCTGGAAGTGGTCTCTGGGATGGGCCTTTGATTCTGAGCCTGGGTTGTGAGATTAACGGCAGCTGTGGCTCCTACAGCACGAGGTGGGCGGGCTGTTTCCAGCACCTCGCTGTGCGCCTTCCCTCCTGGGCTATTTAACGCCATGCTCCTGCCCTTGCAGCCAGTTCAAAGTGTCTGTCCCATTCCTGGCTTCTGTTGGCGTTTTCTTTGGGACATCACACAGGAGCCCTCTTGGACTTGGGGCAAATGATGACTAGCCTAAACCACAGGACTCGGCAGAGACGGGGTTGGCATCTTCAGGGACCCTGAAGTCTGCCCCCTGGCAAGGGGGTTCCAGGCTGGGACACCCCTGCAGGCACCAGCAAGAGGAGCTGGCAGCGGGAGGAGCTCCGTTGAGACCCAACAGCAGTGGAGAGAAGTCCAGAGCAGGCACAGCATGAGTGACACAGGTGGGCTGCGTGGACGTGGACACCTGCACGGGCATGGGGAACCAGCACGAAGTTGTCACCACACATGCCTATGGTAGGGAGGCCCTTGCCGCACTGCATTAGTGGGAAAGGGGACCCTTGTGAGGGAAGTGAAGGGTACGGGAGTACAGAAGGAGACTGCAAAGCCTGGAGGTGGGGGCGCACCTGCAGATAAACAACTCAGGGTGCACAGGCAGGGGACCCCATCAGCTCAGCTCCCAGAAAAGAATAGTGCCTTGCCCAGCCGCCACTGCTTGCTTTGGACCAGAGGTAAGGGGGCCGAGGCTACTGGGATGGGGCCTCACAACCCCTAAATCTCCCCTGGAGCAAGAATCCCCTTCCTATTGTTCTGAGCCACCTGTGGGGTATCTTCCACCCTGCGACTTGAGTGGCGAGTCAGCCAAGAGCCTGGAGCTGGAGTTGGAAGCCCACCCAGAGGTGGCTAGTGGGTTTCTCCTGTTTCGCTTCCCTCATACCCGAGGGTCTTTCCGTTCCTAGGGCAAGCCTCTCTCACACCTAGGATTTCCAAACTTCCCTCCACTGACAATCTTCAGGAATGGTCCTATCAGATAGCTAGATATTGGCTGCACGTGCTGGCTAAGCAGGTGGCTGCCTTGCTGAGGGCTGGGATCTTGTGGGGGCAGCCCTAACATCCCTTAGTGAGGGGTCTGGGAATGCTCAAGGTCTGGGTTCTCTGGGCTTTCAGGGCTGAGGGAGCCCACAAAAGGGGCCGGGGCGGGGGAAGGAGGGCTGGGTCTGGGTGCTGAGGGATACGTTAGACTTGCCGGGATGCCAAGTCCTAACCAAGCCACTCTTGCTAGGCCACCCACTGTCCTGGCTACAGGTATACCTAGTCATTCTCATAGAACCCACCCCTAGGCTGCTTCCTTAAGATGCTGAAAAGCACCATGGAGAAACCATTGGCAAAAGCTGAAGGTTCAGGCAAAAGGCCCCTCCCAACACTGCAGTGAGAGACCTTTGAGAATGGGCTTGCGGCAGAGCCCTTCAAGGTGGTCAGCAACAGCAGACAAGGGCTGAGAAAAGCTCCAGGTGGGACAGCACTGGCAGGTAGGGCAGGCAGCCACTAGGGGGCTTGGGAAGATGCATCTGAGACCCCTGGCTGCCAGAGAAAGCCCTTACCTGGTGCTCTCCCTGGGAGGAGGGCGGCGCCTAAGGCTGCCCTACAGCTTAGATACTGTATGGGTCGTCCTCCCTCACCTGTGATGTCTTCTGATTCAGATCAGGGAGGTTCCAAAAGTGGCTGGAATAGCCCAGTCTTGAACGCAAGCTGTTGCCTGTTCTGCCTAAGAGAAGGGTAGTACCCTAGGCTACTTTGTAGTTAGCCTCCTCCCTCACCTTTTAAACATTGATGGGGCTGGCACTGCTGCCCAATAGGGTCAGGCCACCCCTTAATGTGTTGGCATCCTCTATGAGAGGGTGGGTTTAGCTCCCTGCACATGTGTTTGGGAAAGCAGTGGAAGATGGCGCACGTATTTGGCCCCCTGACACCCATGTGAGAAACTTGGGCAGAGCTCCTGGCGTGGGCCTGGGCCAGTCCTGACTGCTGCAGTTGTTTGGGGGAGTGAACCAAAGTATGAAAGACCTTGTGTCTTTATCTCTCCCTCTTTGTCATTCTACCTTTCAGACAAATCTCTGGAAGTTTTTAATAAGGATTTATTTAAAAGCTTGATTAAACACAGAAGGATCTTCCACCCATTGGTTCACTTTCCAAATGGTTGTAACAGCCAGGGGTGGGCAGGGCTGAAGCCAAGATCTGGGATCTCCATCTTGACCTCCCACATGTTTAGGCCCGGTTATCTGCACCTTCTGCTGCTGCTCTTCAGCCACGTTAGCTGGGAGCTGGGATGTAAGCAGGGCAGGCAGTACTGCAAGCAGTGGCTAAACTCACAACACCATCATGCCAACCCCAGCTCAGTCTGTTTTGAGATGTTTTGTGGAAGGCCGTTCCTCACCTCTGATACCCCCCTGAGCTTCTTGTAAAAATGATACGTAGCCAGGGAGTCCAGGCCCTGGCAAGGACTGGTACTGAACCTGTGTATTCTTTTTTTTTTTTTGATGTTTTTCTTTATTGTTATTAACATTGTATTATGTGATACAGTTTTATAGGCACTGGGAATTTCCCCTACCCCTCCCATAACCCTCCCCCCATAGTGGATTCCTCCACCTTGCTGCATAACCACAGTTCAAGTTCAGTTGAGATTCCTTCATTGCAAGCATATACCTAGCATAAAGTCCAGCATCTTATTGTCCAGATAAGTTCAGTGGCCTCTTGGGGAGACCTTCTCTGGTCTGAAGGTAGAACTAACAGTAAAGTTCCGGTCAGTTAAAAGCCCCAGCAAAGCATCAGCATCAATATACAACGTTATGGAATTAATTGACATAGTATTGAGTAAACATTATGTTAAAAATAATGCAAGTTCCATTCTTTGAAACATCTGGGTTGAGACAGTATCAATGACAGGTTCAAAAAATAACAAACAACCAAACAAAAATTACAGGTTAAATCAAGGCAAACATGTGGTATCTAACCTTTTGGGATTCGCTCATTTCCTTTAGCATTATAGTTTCCAGTTGGGCCCATTTAGCCACAAAGAACTGCATTTTGTTTTTTTTTTAATAGCTGAGTAGTATTCCATGGAGTAGATGAACCAAAGCTTTCTTATCCAGTCTTCTGCTGATGGGCATTTCGGTTGCTTCCATGTTTTTGCAATTACTGATTGTGCTGCTATGAACATAGGGATGCATGTTGGTTTGTCATGAAACAGGTGTTTTGGATATATTCCTAGGAGTGCCATTGCTGGGTCATATGGTATGCAGATTTTGAGTTGTTTGAGTGTTCTCCAGACTGATTTCCATAAAGGCTGTACCAACTTGCAGCTCCACCAGCAGTGGAGTAGGGTTCCCTTTTCCCCACATCCTCGCCAGCAAGCGTCGTTGGTGTTCTTTTTTATGTGGGCCAATCTTACTGGTGTTAGGTGGTACCTCATCGATGTCTTAATTTGGATTTCCCTTATTGCCAGGGAACTGGAGCATTTTTTCATATGTTTGCCATTTGGGCTTGTTCCTTTGTGAAATGTTTGCCCATTTCCCGTGCCCATTTCTTGAGTGGCTTGTTTGTTTTGGTTTTTTGGTTGTTTTGGAGTTCTTTGTATATTCTGGAGATTAGCCCACTATCTCCTACATAGTGCGTGAAGATCTTCTCCCATTCTGTGGGTTGCTTTTTTACTTTGCTGATTGTTTCCCTTGCTGTACAGAAGCTTCTTAGTTTGAGGTCCCATTTGTTTATTCTGTTCTTAACTGCTATTGCTTTTGGCGTCCTTCTTAGAAAGTCAGGACCTACTCCTAGGTCTTGCAGGGTATTTCCAACATTTTCTTCCAAGAGTTTGAAGGTTTCTGGATGTAGGTTTAGGTCTTTTATCCATGTAGATTGGATCTTAGTGTATGGTGACAGGTGTGGGTCTTTTTGCGTCTGCAGGCTATCAGCCAGTTGTCCCAACAACATTTACTGAAGAGGCTTTCCCATTTGCTTGGACTGTCGTTGGTCTTTTTGTCAAAGATTAATTGGCTGTATCTGTGTGGGTTCCCTTTTGGTGCTTCTATTCTATTCCATTGCTCTTCCTCTCTGTCTTTGTGCCAGTACCAGGCTGTTTTGATAACCACTGCTCTTTAGTATGTCCAGAGGTCCGGAACTGTGATTCCCCCTGCTAAATTCTTGTTCTTTAGGATGGTTCTAGCTATTCGTGGTTTTTTGTGTTTCCAGATGAATTTTTGAATCATTGTGTCTAGTTCTGTGAAGAATGTTTTGGGCAATTTGATTGGCATTGCATTGAAAGTGTATATTGCTTTTGGTAGTATAGACATTTTAATGATGTTGGTTTTACCTATCCAGGAGCATGGAATGTTATTCCATCTTTTGAGGTCTTGTTCAATTTCTTTTTTGAGTAGTTTGTAGTTTTCTTCGAATAGGTCTCCTACACTTTTAGTTAGATTTATTCCCAGATACGTCATACTCTTCTCTACTATTTTGAATGGTATCTTGCTGGTTAGGTCTTTTTCCATCTTGGGGCTGTTTGCGTACACAATGGCTGTTGATTTTTTGTTCAGTAATTTTGTACCCTGCCACTCTGCCAAACTCTTGTATAAGTTCTAGCTGAACCTGTGTATTCTCAAAATGAATCTCTAGGTCAGGGGATGTGGCAGAAGACAGCCCCTCTATAGAGACTAAGAAGGGAGTGGGAGGGAGGAAGCTAGCAAAGCAGAACTGAGCATTGCCAACAGCTAGCCTTTGTAGGCTACAGATACAGCTTGCTGTTTGCTGGTGACTAATGAGTCTGCTCGTGTGCTCAGGATTTCTGAATTCCGAATTTCCAACTTGTAACAGGTGGATAAGATTCGCCCTCCTTTGGGCTGTTTGTCTGGGATGGCTCAGTGTTAGAGCTATTGCGTTGGGGTCTCAGGATGTCTAAAGCATCTTGGTGTGCAATGCCTCACGGTTGCCCACCCCAGGGATTGTGCAGACAATTGTTGAAATTGTGTATGTGGAAGAGTGCAGTGACTTTGAGTGGAGGGAAGGCCTCTGACGCCGTCCTTGCCCCATGAGAAAGGATTCTAGGCTTGGGTGTGGCCTTTGGGGGAGGAAGCACCTCCATCCCCCGCCTACCAGGAGCCTGTGTTAGAAGCCAGTGGGGGATGGCAGTATAAGGCAGTGAGCTGCAGCTTGTGCAGCCCTGGGGCAAACCTGGCTGTCTTCATGAGCCAGCTGTGCTCATCCTTGCCTGTTGCATTGGACCCTGTGCTGCCTGGTCACAGTATACATTACCATGGAACAACCTGCTGCCATCCATCACTTTTGTAAGTTGAGGTGAATATCTTTTCCTTCTCAGACTGTGGGTGGTTTTCTTTGGAATCACTGCATGTGATGCGGTAGCCCTCTTGGAGTTTGGGTTCCTGGGGTGCCACACCTCCAAACAGTATCAAGCTGAGAACAAAGCACGCCTTTTACTTGCAGCATCTCTGAGAAGCCAGCAGATCGCTGCAAGTTATGCTAAGGGCAAGGCTTTTGGGATGCAGTACTTGAGAGTAGACCCCGGACTTTGTCATCCTCTGGGCCCTTCAATGCTGTGAGTACCCATGCTTGGGTCTCTTGTGTTGGCTGGTGCCCACTGAGCCGAAACTGGCTGTGATGTTATTGGTTTGGGGCATGTAAGTCTAAGTGAGACATGTTAAAGGAGACATTTGTGTGTGATGTGTTACTGGTCATTATCAGAGCGTGTGTTGTTGGGAATACTCCACACATATAAGCAATGGAATCCCAGGAGTCTCTAACTTTGGAACCGTTGTCTCACAGTGTGATGTCGGTCTTTGACACAGTTGTGGAGAGAAGCCGCAGTGACATTGGAACACCTGTTCTGTGACTTCCTCTTAGGTGTCTGTGTATGCTGTGCCAGAGAAGATAGACCAGGCGGATTATGCACTGGATGCTGCGGTGACTCTTCTAGAATTCTACGAGGATTACTTCAGCATTCCGTATCCCTTACCCAAACAAGGTAGACCTGACACACATAAAGGACGATGTCAGATTATGACTTTGTCACCTACTCATCCCCACACTTGTCTTAGGAGCCGCTGAAGTCCTAACACTCCAGTGAGTTGTCAGGTGTCAGGTCAATTCCCTGAGTGTCTGCCCATCCCTGATCTGTACCATGACTTGCTCATGGTAACATTGGGTTGTTTCAGAAAGTTGATGAGAAATAGAACTGAACAGTTGATTTTAATGCAACAAAGTTGGAAAGCCAAGCATAGTCTTCTCGTGCTAAGTGTGTTCTATGAAGTTTTTTTTAAAGACTCATCCTACAGCAGGTCTTGGAGCACATGGCATGGGGACTGACTGGGCTCCTGCTTCTGTCAGTGAAGGACAGCAGAGCACAGAGCCTGCACGGCTTGTCATACTGGCACCAGCTTGGCAGGGGCAGTGGATGCTCAATGGGTTTTATTTTCAATGAGTAAGTTACACAGCGCAAGAAGGCATCCAGACTAGAGTAGGTCATTGAGGGTAAAGAATATTATCTAGTCTGCAAACACCATATGGGGATGTTAGACGTGGAGCCACGTGGCCCTGGATATTTTTCTGACTTGGTCACATCAGTGCAAGTGAGCTGCCATCATGCAGCACCATTCTGTCCATGGTGCAGGGCTCCCCCATGGCCAGAGCTCTGTCGCTGTGCCCAGGCAGCTCAGCTTCTGTTTTGGCACTGACTCCCACCCCTTCTGACATGGAATGTTTAGGGCAGATGTGTGACTGAGATGAGAGGAATGTAATGGTGTTTTCTTCCACAAGATCTTGCTGCCATCCCTGACTTCCAGTCAGGTGCCATGGAGAACTGGGGGCTGACAACCTACAGGGAATCTTCTCTGCTGTTCGATCCAAAGAAGTCCTCTGCATCCAGCAAGCTGGGCATCACCATGATTGTGGCCCATGAGCTCGCTCATCAGGTCTGTACGTGCAAGCATGCTGTCAACACAATGATCGAATGCTGTACATGGCTTTTGGAGTATGACGCTGTTTGTATATTTATAATTCTTATTCTCAGGGGAAGCATTCTTAAAGATTTCTTATTTGAAAGGCAGATTTTACAGAGAAGGGAAGCTCAAGAGAAGGTTTCCCATCTGATAGTTTGCTCCCCAAATGGCTGCAACAGCCAGAGCTGAGTCAGTTCAAAGCTGGGAGCCAGGAGCTTCTTCTGGGGTTCCCACATGGGTGCAGGAGCCCAAGGACTTGACCCATCCTCCGGTGCTTTACCAGGCCCATTAGCAGGAAGCTGGATGGGAAGTGGAGCAGCCGGGATACAAACCATGCCCATGTGGGATGCCCTTGCTTGCCACAGGGCAGAGGATTTAGCTTGCTGTGCTACTGTGCTGGTCCCATGGAAACATTTAGAGCATTGCTTAGTGTTTTATATGCTGAAAGGTTTTTATTTTTGCTTTGATAAACAATTCTGTGTATGTGGTAACACCCTTAAAATGCTAGATCATCTAAAATACAATTCTGAAAGTCTTTTGCTTCTGGCTGCTATTACAGGCAGTATTGTCTCCCTAGCAAAGTGTGCATTCATTGACTCACATTCTGCCTTCCAGTGGTTTGGGAACCTGGTCACTATGGAGTGGTGGAATGATCTCTGGCTAAATGAGGGATTTGCCAAGTTTATGGAGTTTGTATCTGTCAGCGTGACCCACCCTGAACTGAAAGTTGTAAGTGGTTATCTTATGTTTCAGGTTGAGCTGTTTTGTTCAGTGTTGCTGGAAAATATTTGCCTTTTCAATTATAAAGTTAATAGAAATATTGCATAGCTGACTTTCTTGGGAGCCTAGATAAATCTGTTACTGCTAAATATGATTTTTAAATCTGATTGCTATGTGTTAAATGTTTGTGTTCCCTCAATATTAAGACAGGAATAGCAATAGCTTGAATGTCTGTATCATTTCTCCTATCTCCAGGCTGCTCACTGAGGATATAGATTGTTACTGTCTCAGTAAGACCCTTCCTGACAAATCAAATTATGCTTAAGATATCTACTCATTTGATTATGATCTGTGAGTGTTAATGCTTTGCAACTGATTTTTTTTTAAAAAAAGCACATTCAACTTGAGAAAAATCACATACAGAAAAATTAAGCTTTATTTTAAAATTTTTAGTACAATGATTTTTAAAAATTTGACTATACTTTCTGCTTTCATCTGCCTGCTTTGTAGTTTATTCGTGGTGGTAACAATTAAGCTCGTATCACTTTAAAGCTACAAAAGATCAGAAATATTTTAGTGTTTCTGTAGAATACTTAATAAATGTGATTATAGGTGCACATTATCCTTTTGAGTTAATGTGCCCAGTGAAGCAGGTTAATGTTGGAATTTGTGCTCCATTGTTGCTGCGTATTTTAAAATGGTGCAGATGGCGGTTGGAAATGTTGACTGCTGCACCTCCTAGTTTCCTGTTCTGTAGCTGTAGGCATGATTTTGTTTTCAGGTCAATATGGAATTTATCTTGAAGTGATGAGTAGTTCAGATGGAACAGAGCCTGCCACGTCTCCCAAAGTACTTGGATGCTTTTTGGAAAACTATAATTTTATTTCGTAAACCCTAGAAATACAGAATAGGCTAGCCAGTGAGAGTCCAGCCCTAGGACTGCACCTCCTCCCCTGTATCCATTAGCCAAACATAATGCTGAGGAGGTGTTGCCTTTCAATCTCAATAGGAAGACTACTTCTTTGGCAAGTGTTTTGATGCGATGGAGGTTGATGCCCTAAACTCCTCACACCCAGTGTCCACGCCTGTGGAGAATCCTGCTCAGATCCAGGAGATGTTTGATGATGTCTCTTATGAAAAGGTGAGTAGATTGTGCGGCTTTGGAAACTGAGGAGTGACAGCTGGGGTTGGGTGGAGGTTAAGGTCCAGGCTGCAGGGTGGCTTTCCCTTGGCAAGGAGCTGCCCTGCTCCAGTGCTTCTGTGTGGTTTGTGCTGGTGGCAGCCAACCCATGTGCGCCTGGCTTGTGGAAGGCAGGTATGGCTGGAAAACCGTCACCACAAGCTGCAGGTCACAAACTCAGTACCACTGGTGATGTAAGTGGTGGGAATAGCCCAAAGGAAAGAACACTCCTTGCATGCCCTTCTCTTGCCTTGCTCCCTGCCCCGCCACTGTACGTGTGTGTGTGTGTGTGTGTGAGAAAGACAGGTGAGATGACGGACACCAACTGACCAACTAGGAGACAGATCTCCCACCTGTTACTGGCTCACTCCAAATGCCTGAGCTGCCCAGGCTAAAGCTGGGGAGCCAGACTTCAGAAAACAATCCAGGTTTCCTGGGAGTGGTGGGGCCTCAGCCACTTTTGCCTGGGGCTCCCCAGGCTGTGCCTTAGCAGGAGGCTAGGCTTTGGAGCAGAGCCAGGAGCTCACAGCCAGGCCCTCCAGTATGGGACCCAGGTGTAGGCTCGTTATCCTAGAGGTTATGCTGTGGGCAGCTTTCACCCTCTGGTGGACCAGAAGTTCCTAATCTATAGAAGCCAGAAGTCACGTCTCTTGTGTCTGCCTGCAGGTTGGTGTGGCTGAAGCTTCACCCTGAGGAACAGGAGCATTCCTGCTCTCCTTGGTGCAGTCTCCCTTTCCATGCCTTTGGAAATGGCTCATGGCGCTGAGCTGCTAAGAGCCATTGAGTAGCTGAGTTGGCAGTTGTTGCCGATGATTGATGGCTTTCAATTAGAAACCCAGACTTTTAGCCGCTTTTGGAAATGCAGAAAAGAAGGCCTGGGCCTTTCCAGTCCTTGGCAGTGTGAGCTGCGGCTGCGCCATGGCTGCTTCTCTGTGAGGTCAACTTTGGGCTTTGCTGCCCCTGTGCCTTCCCACCTGCTGCACCCTCAGCCTGGGGACACTGGGCCTGGCTGTGGTTTCATTTGTGATAAGTGGTGAAGTGTGTCTTGCAGGGGTGGTGTGGCATTTGCTGCGGCGGTTAAGTTGCCCCTGTGACACCTGTAGGTCATAGTGGAGGACATGGGTGTGAGCTCCCGGATGTGCTCCTGAGGCCAGCCTCTGGCTGAGGCACACCCCAGGAAGCCCCAGGCAAAGGCTCAAGTGGCCATTGAGTTCCTTATAGCTCACAGAAGAAGAGCTGGTTTAATTTCTCATTTTCTGGCTCCTGGCTTTGGCCTGATCCAGCCTGGGCTTTGCTGACATTTGGAAAGTGAGCCAGTGGAGTGTGGGGACATGGGGGAGGCATGTCCCTGTCTGTCTCACACACAAAGGAATATCCGGGTGGCAAAGGAGAAGAATGTGAGTACACTCTCTCCTTTGGGCTGCTCTCCTTACTTGTGTGGTCAATACCTCACGCCAGTGGAAGTGTTGTGTGTGACCCACAGGCCAGTAGGTGGAGCGGGAAAGTGCCTCCTGCATCGGAAGCTAGGGTTGTGCCTGCTCCTCTCATTGGCCCTGTGTGCTTGGGCTGCCAGGGCTGCCTCACTCACCTGGCAGTCCCGACCAGGCACCTGCCTCCAGTGCTCCAGCCCTCGTCACACTCGCCTCTTCCCCACCCTGGCCTCAGAGCAACCACAAGATGGCACTCATTCCCATGCTTCCTCTACCCAAGTTGTGTGCCCAGTGTGAACGTAAGGAGCTGGCAGGTGATATTGGGGGGGCATGGACAAAGAATACAGTCACCTTAAGGAATCCCTTGCTGCGGAGAGCGCCAGCTGTAATACCCTTTCTCTGTTCCACAAAGTACCCGACATTACAAAGACGCTGCAGCCATGTGTCACAGGAATCACTGGGTCGTGGCCCAGCTAAAGATGGCTATGGTTTCTCTGACCTTTGCAGGGCGCGTGTATTCTGAACATGCTTAGGGATTACCTGGGGGCTGATGCCTTCAAGAGTGGGATTGTGCAGTATCTCCACAAGTACAGCTACCAGAACACCAAGAACGAGGACCTGTGGAACAGCATCGCTGGCGTGAGTAGCCTCTGTGGGTCTATCGTCTGGGCTGTGCAGTCCTGTCGCTTTGCTTGGTGTGTTTTCTCTGTCACATCACTAACCCAGAGAAGAGCCACAATGTCTCCTACAGAATCTGGAGTGATGGGTGTGTTCTGGGTTTCAGATCTGCCCTCAGGATGGCACGCAGAAAATGGAGGGCTTCTGCTCTAGAAGTCAGCATTCACCGCCTTCAACTTCAGTAAGTTTGTGCACCTGTTCCCCTCAGCATATTGCTCCCCCCGTTGCTGGATGGCTCTATATCAGACTGTCTGAGTCCCTGGTTGTATCAGGCTCATTCAAGGTCAGACTGCACTTTAACCAAGTCTGGCTGAGGGCTCAGGCAGGCTTTTTCACAAAGTATCTACTCAAGAGGATAGCGTGGCCCTCACTGATGCTCAAAGCTCGTACTCTGGAAAGCAGTGCATCATGCCCCGTTACCGTAGTGAGTGCCACCTTGTACGAGTCACAAGCACATGTCCCTCGTTTCTAGGGCTCTGCACTAGGGACAAAGTCATAGCATCGAATCTTCCTGAACAAGCCCAGGTGGGAAGCACCCGGTGTGTTTTCTCCTTTACTCTTCACCTCTGCGATGCTGATGGTGACTGTTCCTATTTTCACACCTGTGCCTGGTGAATTGCAGAACAAGGCTTCAAATTTAGATCTTACTCTCCTGGGTCATGAACTGTTCAGCCAACAGGTATCACAAAACAGCCAGCAAAATGTGTATCTAGACTTTGTGGAATCTTCTTGTGGGTGGGTCTGAGTGAACCTGGACATTCCATATATTTACCTATATTTAAATGTTCATGGTTTTCCTGTTCTCAGATACTATATTACAACCTCCAGGTTTATCCTGTAACATGTTTTACATTTTAACTAGCTCTTTAAAGCTTAATTGGAAGTTCTTGGGTAACTTGTTTCCTAATGGGCTATCTCGACCCTAGCACTTGGGAAGCACAGCTTCTTGGCTGAACATTTTTCCCATCTTGTGTACCTGGGAACCAGCAGGGTTCTGTAGGTGTCACACACCTGACCACTTCTCTCACCCTCTGCTTTCTGTCACTCGTGCACATGCATACTTGGTGCCCAGTGCTCTACCTGCCTCAAGAAGTACCAGCAGCACTAGATATGCTAACTTTCCTCAAGACACATATGGCTAGTGGGGAAGGGTTTGGAAGGAAAGAATCCCACACGAGAGAGTGATCTGCACCCCCATCTTCACAGCAGCTCAGTTGACGGTAGCCAAGATCTGACATCAACCCAGATGTCCTTCAGCTGATGACCAGATATAGAAAATGTGGTAGACACTGGGGAATACTACTTGGCTGCCCCAAAACAAGCAACTTCCTGTTTTTTGCAACAAACTAGATGCAATTGGGAGACCTTTATGTTGAGTGCAATAAGCCAGTCATAAGAAGTTGAATATTGTATTTTTCCCCATATTTGTAGTAGCTAATCTACACAGTAGCACCCCAAAATGTATAGATAAAACAGACATCTTGAGAGTCGGTCACTATTGGTAGTGCTTGTCTATACTCTTGGAATGGTTTTTGTTTGTTGCTTACTGAATCCTAAACTTAGTGGACAGTTAAGTTTGGGATTCTAAAGTAAATTGAAAGTATGTCATTTCAAAAATTGAAAAGGACAGGAGGGAGGGAAGGCTGGGAAGATGGAATGTGTCATATTTTTACTGTATATTTGATATACATGAACCTTGTTCTGATTATATAAACAAATATAAACAGCACATGCTCAAGTGGGGCTGTGGGGGAAGGAACCCAGGGTAGAAGGATGGGGCAGAGTGTGGAGCAGGGAGCTCCAAGAAGGAGGCCTTTGGGGTGCAAGCTGGAGCTGGGTGGCAGTGGGTGACGTGTCTGCCTCTGTTGGAACCCAGCACTGGAGCCAGGAAGGACTGGACGTGAAAGCCATGATGAACACGTGGACGCTGCAGAAGGGCTTTCCTCTGATAACCGTCACTGTAAGAGGGAGGAATGTACATGTGGAGCAAGAACACTACATGAAGGGGTCTGACGGCGCCTCAAAAACCGGGTAATGCTGGGACTGCGCATGCGTTGCTGCTTCTGTGACATCTGCCTGTGTGGGCCATCTTGCTGTTTGTCATGGCATCCTTGCCTCTCTTGCTGAGATGTTTCACTTAAGCCTACTTGGCTTAGGAAGCCCATACAGTCTGTCTTTCCAAACAGAGCAAGGGTACTTTCAGCATTGGTTAGTCTTGGTCAAACTGAAGCGACAGTTAACATTTCCAGGTTTTGTAGACTGACAGGATGTGATTTAGAGATTCTGACTTGAAATTGGCTCTGACCGAGGCCTTGGTGGCTGAATTGGTATAGTGCTTGGGATCTAGGTTGGCACAAAGGACACGGGGATTGAGCTGACTTCTGGAACTCTCTGCTGTGGAAGCAGAATTGGGTCCTGGAACCTGTACACCAGCGCAGCAGGACGCTGTTGAAAATGAGACACAGCTACTTGACTGGCCCCAGGTGCACAACATATTTTTGAATCTTGAAGTAATTTCAGACTGTTGTTGAAATTGTAAGAAAAGTGCAAGCAATTTCCATAAATTGTGCACCAAGATACCTTACTTTTGTGTCATGTGCTCTGCCACTCTCTCAATATATGTAAACTTACGTCTGTAAACTCTCACAAGTACTTCAGAAAGTTCATGGTAAAGGCATGCTATGAAAGTTACTCATAGATTTAAAAAATCATTTTCCATGGGAATTTTTTTGAAGATTAATTTTTATTGAAAAGGCAGATCTACAGAGGGAAGGAGAGACACAGAAAAAGATCTTACATTCTCTGGTTCATTCCCTATGTGACCACACCGGCCAGAGCTGAGCTGTTCTGAAACCAGGAGTCAGGAGCTTCTTCTGGGTCTCATGTGGGCACAGGCTCCCAAGGCTTTGGACTGTCCCCAATTACTTTCCCAAGCCACAGACAAGGAGCTGGATGGAGAGTGGGGCAGCTAGGACATGAACTGGCACACATAGGGATCCCAGTATGTGCAAGGCAAGGACTTTAGCAGCTAGACTACCACCCCGGCCCCTGTCTTGGATACTCTGAAAGAATACAGACCACTTATTTTATCGAACTTTCTTCAGATGGGGTTTTGATTGTTTATGATCAGGTTCAGTTAACCAAGACTGGCAGGGATTTCCATGGGAGTGATGCTGTGTCTTTGTGTATGGTTTAGGAGACATAGGCATTGTCACTTCCTATTACCAGTGGTTGCCGTTAAGTTTGGCCTCTGAGCTTCCGTCAGCCAGTCACTGGGAAGACTGACAGCCCCGTGAGCCCTGGGAGGCGTGTGAACAGTACCTGAGCCAGCACACCTGTAGCCCTGGAAAATAGGCTTAGGTGGCTTGGTCTTGGCTGGAGTCCCTTGGGCCTCATCTTGTTCCATACTAGCCAGTGCCCAACACACAATGGGTGACTTAGCAACTGCTTCGTTGACTTGGTCAACAAATGAGCCATCCTTCTCTCCTGGTTTTTAGGTATTTGTGGCATGTGCCATTGACCTTCGTTACCAGCAAATCAGATGGGGTACAGAGATTTTTGCTGAAGACAAAAACAGGTAATCCATCATAGAAATAACATGTAATTGAAGGAGGAAGTGTGGAAATAGGTAAGGCATAAATACTTAAGTTTTGTTACTTCTCTTGGCTAAAACAAATGGTAACTATCTTGGCAGACAGATGAAAACAGGTATATAATGCTAAAGAGGAAGGATTACAGTGATAAGTCCTCTTTCCTAATTTGGAGTTCTATTACTTGGACAGTCAGAAATGTGGTTGCAGTCTTTTCTTAGATCTCACAAAGCTCTTGTGTAAAACTGGGGTATGCTCTTGTCCGTTGGGTGGCCGTTTTCTGCTTTTGTTAAGATTATTTTTATTTAAAAGGCATATTTAAAGAGGGAGATTTTTGTCTGCTGGCTCCTGGAGTTTCTTTCAGGTCTTCCCTTGGGTGTGGGATCCAAGGGCTAGGGCTCGCCTCTCCGCTTCCCCAGTCACATTAGCAGGGAGCTGGGTAGGGAGTAAAGCATAGTGGAACTGGCATCCATAATAGGTGCCAGCACCACAGTCAGAGGCTTAACTGACCACCCCATGGTGCTGGCCCTGTTTTCTGGTTTCTAGAAGCAATTTTGAATGGTTCAGTGTGAAACTCTTCTGAATTTTGCTTGTCTGATTTCTGATGAGCAGAGCTTGCATCCACCCAGAGTAGTAACTGGAGCCACTATTTATCTTGTTTGCCCTAGATGTGCTCATCCTTCCAGAAGCAGTGGAATGGATCAAGTTTAATGTGGGGATGAACGGCTATTACATCGTGCACTATGAGGATGATGGATGGGATTCCCTGACTGGTCTCCTCAAAGGAGCACACACGACAGTCAGCAGTAACGATCGGGCGAGTCTCATTAACAACGCCTTTCAGCTTGTCAGGTAATCCAGGCTGCTCAAGGTCCTGGCTTATTGCTGCAAATTGTTGATTTCTAGGACAAGAGTGATTGATTGCTAGTAAGAACCTAGAAAGGGGTTTTCCTTTCAGTTCTAACAACCCAAGGCTCTTTTTAAGCCATATGATTAACTTGATGTCTCTGAGAAGTAACTGGAAGGCTGGAATCTGTGTTTCCTTCTTTATCACTAAAAAACTCACCAGTGAGGCAGACATACAGAAACTAAGAGCATCTGGGGAAGTGCCTTTTCACATTTAGAAAGTCTTTTCCTGCTGTTTGCCCTGCACCTGTTCTAACAGAGGCTTTCCACACTGCTCTCGAAGAGTTTTGAGATCTTCAATGATGAAGTTGCCCAAACTCTGGGCAACTCTGGGATTGCCCCTCCTCCCAAAACAAGGCAGCTCCCAAAACCAAAGGCCCAGGCTGTAAGATTCATCTATTTTCATTGGAAAGGCAGAACCACAGAGAGAAAGATCTTCTGTCTGCTGGCTCATTCCCCAAATGGCCACAGTGGCCAAGGTGAGTCAATCTGAAGCCAGTAACTAGAAGTCTCGAACCTCCTCTAGGTCTCCCAGGTGACCACAGGGTCCCAAGGCCTTAGACCATCCTCCACTGCTTTCCCAGGCCACAAGCAGGAAGCTAGATGGGAAATGGAGTAGCCAGGATATGAACTGGAACCCACATGGGATACCAGTATGTGCAAGGCAGGGTCCCAGGCACTAGGCTACTGCTCAGGGCCCAATCCCAGGCATCTTAACCCTTGTGCAGAATGGGGGTCTGAAGGGAGCAGCAAACATGACTCCTCTATTTCCAAATCCAAGTCTTTGGTCTTGGGCCTTTCACAGTGACAGAAGGGAAGGACGAAGATGGCTTTTCTAGTGGTGCCTCTTAGCCGCTGGAATCTAGAGGTCTTTGCGTCCATGTAGATTAAGTATGCTGAGACCCTTTCCATGGAATTATAATGCCGTCACTCTGCGAGGAGTGGACCCCATGTGCAGTCAGTGCCTTTGTTTGGAATAGAGCTGATGTACTGACACTGGATGAGCTCTCGGGCTGCTGGCCTCCTTCCTGGGGAAGCTCAGTGCAGGATGCTATGATCTCAGACTGAGGCCGCCTCTCCACTGTGGCGTCTCAGCCATAGGGTGGCCCCATGTGGGAGATCAAGACGCATAGATCTTGAGCCAGAGAATTGATGTTGCGGATTCTCGTGTAAACCTGTAACTGTGATGTCTCTCGGTCAGCGTGGGAAAACTGCCGATTGAAAAAGCCCTGGATCTAACCCTGTACTTGAAGCGTGAAACTGAGATCATGCCCGTGTTCCAAGGCCTGAATGAGCTGATCCCTCTGTATAAGTTAATGGAGAAAAGGGAGATGAGTGAAGTGGAAAATCAATTCAAGGTAAGCGTTTCATAGTTGTGGTTTGCTTCCCTGTGTGTGTGTGTGCGCATGCTCATATATATGAGGTTACTTCATAAAGTTCATGGAAAACTGAATTAAAAAATGCATTTCCCACAAACCTTTTGATGTACCTTCACATATTACAGAAACCCAAAAATCCATTTTGGAGACAGAATAATTCTGGTTTCATTTGGCACTAAGATTAGGACTGACAATGTTAGATCCTGATCTAACATTCATTTTGGTGAATTTTTTATTTCCTTCTGCCAACAAATCTTAATTCCATTGTACATACTCTGTTATTATGTATGTTTGAGGAAGAGGTAGAAACTGATTTTTGGCAAAATGCTGATAAGTTGTGTAATTGATATAAAAATTTAGTCGTAAGCTAAGAATGGAAGTCCATCTCTTTTTTAAAGAGCTGGGAAAAGATCATTATGCAAATCATAAAAGCGTTTATCATGTTTCTCTGATACAAACTGAGCAGCACACTTAACACTTGAGCTGGTGCTTAGAATGTGGTTCCCCTTACCTGAGGGGTGGGCTGTGCTATGAACTTAAGAAATCCTGTGGAAACACATGTGTCCCTGTACTTTGTCCCCAGGCCTTCCTCATCAGGCTGCTGCAGGACCTCATCGACAGGCAGACGTGGACAGACACGGGCTCGGTGACAGAGCGGATGCTGCGGAGTCAGCTGCTGCTCCTGGCCTGTATGCGCAAGTACCAGCCCTGCGTGCAGAAGGCTGAGGGCTACTTCCACCGGTGGAAGGACTCCAACGGCACGCTGAGGTCAGCCCCTGTGGAACCACCCACCTGCTGACAGTCCTGTTGACCTTCTCTGTGTTCTAGCATTGGTGCCACACCCAGGCACAATGAGTACAGATACCACCCTTTGTAGGGTAGAACTGCATCTGTAGGACTGAAATGTGCACTGCTCTCTTCTGTCTTCTGAAACACCAGGAGAGAGCTCCTGGGCATGGAGGCCAAGCCCCAGGGAACTAGAGAGCCTGGTGAAGCCTGTCTTATATAATCAGTGCAAAAATCTTACAGCATTGAGATGGCCATGCCAAAGTGAAATGGAGTCAGTGTGTTTCTCAGACGTGGCTTTGAGCTGCCAAAGGCTCAGGGGTGTACAAACATGGCCAGCACATCTGAGCAAGACAGGCACTTGCCTCAAGGATCTCCGTTCTCCCTGCACTTTGGTCCTTTCTCTATTTGGAGCTCAACTCCCATCCAGAAACGTTCAGGGCAGCCCTGTATGCACATAACTTCCATTTCAAGAGACACCTACCCTCCATAGTGGTCTTGGGTTCCTAACTATGTGTATGGGATATGTCTTGACTCTAGTTAAAACTTCCTTTTATCTTGGAAGGTGACCTCCTTGGAAATGGGCTCATGTCATGAGAGCATGTTAGGTATGTAGGAACTGATTGAAAGTGGCCCCTCAGGAGCTATCTTGATCTTTCCCCCTTTCCTAGGTGTAATGAAGAAACCATTTTCCTATTTTCAAGCATGTCTCTGTAATTACGAGGCCGTTTCTTCAGTTTGCTATTGGTTGCCTTTGTGCATCTGAACATACTTAATCTTGCTCTGACCCGGTGCTCTTTCCCACAGCTTGCCTGTCGACGTGACCTTGGCAGTCTTTGCCGTGGGGGCCCAGAACACCGAAGGCTGGGATTTCCTCTATCACACATATCAGTCATCTTTGTCCAGTACTGAGAAAAGACAAATTGAATTTGCCCTGTGTACAAGCCAAGATCAGGAGAAGCTTCAGTGGTAAGCCATCCATTCATGGTTGTGTGACCAAGGGAGTTTAGACCAGATCAGTGGGCATCTTTTTTGTTCTGTCTGGGAGCTACCTGCTATGCTGGGAACATTTACATGAATGGGCACACATCAAACAAGAATGGCAGATAATTAGGGAGGACCAGGTGTCAGGAGAAATATTTAGAGAGGTCCAAACTTACCTTGTAATAGTGTATTTGAAATATTTACTAGAAATACCATTTCTAGTGGTTCTTTTGAACAAATGTGAGAAGGTACAAGAAGTAGGTACCAAATACTGTATAAATGTTAGCTGTTACTGTGCAGTTGGCAGTAGGTTTATCAAGACTGGTTGCCTGGTTGGTTTGGAATTTATCATTGGTACATTGGCTTTCTTATTTCACAAATTATACTACTGCTGATCGTTTTAAACTCTCTGGTCATTGCTAACATTTCTTCTCTTCATTCCAGGCTACTGGATCACAGTTTTAAGGGAGATATAATAAAAACTCAGGAGTTCCCGTATATTCTCTCCATGATTGGCAGAAACCAAGTGGGATATCTGTTGGCCTGGAAGTTTTTGAGGGAAAATTGGGACAAACTTGTACAAAAGTAAGTAGTGCCAAACTGTGCCAAGATGGTGTAAATTGTTTAACCTTGCTGTGTTTTAGCTTTGTTCGTAAAATCAGAGCAGTCTAAAAGGATTTGCTGTTTGAAAATCGTAGAGGTGCTTGACACATCTATAAAAACAGTCAGGTTTTCCATTGCCTGGGAGTGCCGCCTTGCTGTGACCACTGGCTTGCTGGAGGTTGAGTCTTGCTCTCACACTAACTTGCCCTTGTCTACCTCTGCTAGCACTTCTGACTTCTCTCCTTATTTCTGGATACTTAACCTGCACCCAACTGTTGGTATGATATTTTATGACTAGATCTTAACCCATTAGAGTGTAGTAAGATTTTCTTTGCCATGCTTCCTTTGTTATGTTGTGTCTCATCTAACAGCATTTATGTGGAATAATAAAAGCATCATAATAATTTCCATGTCTAGGTTTGAACTTGGCTCGCCGTCCATAGCCCACATGGTGATGGGAACAACAAACCAGTTCTCCACGAGAGCACGGCTTGAAGAGGTAAAATGAACCTTTGTTTTTGACTGAAGGGACAGTTGGCTAATACTTGGGGTAGACGGATACATTAAATGAGTGAGTTGGAAGTGAATTTTGTCATCAAGAAGCTTTTGGGTGCTATGGGGTTGACATCAGGAAAAACTGAACTCCAGTGAAACAGTGAAGACTGTGCCTCTTCCACATGAGAGTTCAACTTTGTCATGAAAGAGTTTAGGACTTCAAGAACAACTAGCAACAACGAGTCCAGTTAACAGTGGCTCCTTAAATTGAGCCTGGGGCCTGGAGATACGAAAGTGACTCTCCAGCTGTTGTGAAGGAGGAGGCAGGTGTACAGCTCCAGGTTCTGTGCTGTGCAGGCTCTTGCTTTCCCTGGTGCTTGGCATGTGCGCCATCTGTACAGAGCTGCCCAGTGCCCAGAAGGTGACCATAGCAGGGACACGGGCCGAGTGGAACTGCCCAGTGCTCTAACTGTATCAGAGCTTTCTGGCAGTCAAGTAAGAAATAGGTGTCGGTGGTTATTGTCCAAGACAATGAGAAACATACAAATAGTTTACAGAAGTAGACTCCCTCCGCTCCTGAACCATGAGGAGCGAGAGGACCCTGTGCTTCCTGTGTCCCCTCTGCAGCAAGGTTTCAATGGTAGAGTTTAGCAGATTTTACAAGGCCTTAAACTTGCCCTATTTAGATAAAAGCAGGAGCCCAGAATTGTCTAGAGCTGGCTTAATGTAATGAGAGGGCTCTGAAGATGCAGTAGAATGAAGGCTTGTCACAGTCCCTGAGCTTCCCCTCTGCATTTCAGGAGTCTGCTCCAGGCTTGGAGCCCAGGGAGGCCTAGGACAGAGGGAGTTGGTATGAGGAGTCATCCAGACAGCAGCTGTCTGGCTGGTGATCAGAGCTGTAGCACCCAGACTCCCCGTGTTTCTCATTCATTCACTCAAGATACGATGTGTTACTCTGTGTCCCAGTTGTGGGTTTAGCTCCTGGGGCTACAATGACGAATAAACAAAAGCCTGCAGCACCAACTGGGAGCTTTGCTAGACAGATCTACTAACGTCATGCAATCTTGCGTCCTAAAGAAAAGTGAGGCCAGGGGAGCAGGATTGGGTGGGATTGGTGTGTGCTATAGGGATTTGTTTAGGAAATGTTTGAGAATTGGACAAATGCTAAGTACCAGGACAGGGTGGGGGAACATCTGGCCCACAGGCCGTGTAAGTCTTGAGAAATCATTTAGTCTGGCCCTACCAAGGCAATGGCAGGTGGTAATAACTGAAATTCAGTACATCTAAAGTAGGCTAATTCTTCCTAAAAATGTATTTGAAAGAGCTAGTGGAATAAAGATCTTCAATCCACTGGTTTACTCCTGCAATGCCCAGGCCAAAGCGAGGAGCTTCATGCTCGTCTCCCACAGGGATGCAGGGGTTCAAGCATGTGGACCCTCTGCTGCTGCTTTTTCCAAGCCATTACTAGGAAGCTGGATCAGAAGTATAGCATCCAGGAACTGAACTGCTGCCTCTATGAAACACTAACTCTGCAGGTGGAAACTTAACCCACTCTGCCACAGTGCCAACCCATGTAGCAGGCTAACTCTTTTGTATGTATTAGTTTATTGTACTTTTAAAAATTTATATGGTCCCCCACATGTTTAATACATTAGATAATGATATAAACAAATGGCAAGTAGAATATGATAGTAATGACAAAAATAAGCAAACAAAAATAAATACCTGCTATTCCCCATGGGTATAAATAAAATCTGTACATAATACCCAATTCCCAGAGTGTGTGTCTCCTACTAGAGGTGGCATTGTCTGTGCTCTGTGTGTTATCACAGATTAGGGAAAACAGACTCTGTGTTGGACTGGCTTGTTTCACTAAGCATAATAGTTTCCAATTGCATCCATTTAGTTGCAAAAGACAATATTTTACTTTTTGTAAATGGCTGAGCGGTATGCTGTAGTGTATATGTATCGTATCTTTATCCAGATATCTGCTGATGGGCGTCTGGGTTGATTCCATCTCTAGCTATTGTGAATTGAGTGGTTATAAGCATGGGGGTGCTGATAACTCTTGCATATGCTGATTTCATTTCATTTGGATACATTCCCATGAGTGAAATGGCTGGATCACAGGTGGGTCTCTTCAGATACCTGAGGAATCTCCTTTCTGTCTACTGTAATGGTTACACTGGTTTACCTTCCCAACAGTGGATTAAGGGACCTCTCTCTCCACCCCATCCTCGCCAGTGTGTTTGATTTAGCATTTTTTTTTTTTTTACATCTTTTGGCCATTTAGATTTTATCTTTTGAGAAATATCTGTTCATGTCCTTTGCTCACTTACTAACTGGACTGTTTCGTTGAGCTCATTGAGCTCTTCATAGATCCTGGAGATTGATCCTGTATCAGTTGCAAAATGGGCAGATGTTTTCTTTGGCCTGCCTCTTAATTGGGCTGACGGTTCCTTTGTGCTGCAGGAACTTCTTGGTCTAATGGAATCGCACTCATGTTTGTTTTGATTGCCTGGGCGACTTTCAAGCAGTGTTTGCCTACCTCTGCTTGCAGTGTCACTGGTGTCTTCCTCTGGTAGCTTGATAGCAGGTTGCAGATTTAGAACCTTAATCCATTTAAAGTCTTTTATTTAAGGGTGAGATAGTCTTGTTTCTTCTGTACTCAGATTAAAATTTCTTGCAACAACAGTCATTTCTGCCTGGATTGATTTTGGTTTGCTGTGTGGGTTCATTTCTGAGATTTCTGTTCCATTGATCTTCAGATCTGTTTTGTGCTAGTACCAGGTTGTTTTGATTGCTTTTGCCTTGTAGTACATATTAAAGTCTGTTGTACATCCAGCTTTTTGTTGTGTATGACTGCTTTAGCTATCTGGGTCTCTTGTGTTTCCATCTGAATTTTAGCATCACTGTTTTCAGATCTGAGAAGAATGTCAGACATTTTGACTGGGATCATATTGAATATGTAAATTACTTTGGTAGTATGAACACTTTTATATTCTACCAGTCCACCAATTCACAAACATGACAAGTTTTGTTATGTTCTTTCTTTAATGTTTTAGAATTTTCATAGGGATGGCTAATTCTTTTAAAGATTTGAAAAGAGAGATCTTTCATCTGCTGGTTTACTCCAAAAATAGCTGCCAGAGCGGAGGCTGGGCCAGGCCAAAGGAAGGAGCCAGGACGTCAATGTTCTCCATTCTGATGACCATATACCAGCTAGTCCTCCCGCGCTCTTCTCAGCCTTTAGCAAAGCTGATTGGAAATTGGAACCACCAGGTTTAACGGTACCAATGTGATGCGTAATGTAAGAAGTCTTTACCTGTTACGCCTTAACAATGGTCCCAAGCAGGCTAACTTTTAAGGTGAAAATGTGCATAGCTCACAAATTAAGGTGTATATACCCAAATGGTTCTTGGCAGGAAAAAGGTTCCCCTCTGAGTAGGAGAATAATGGGTGGAGAAGGACCATCAGGTGCAGAAGCAAAGGCAGGAGATGGATGAGCCTGAGGTGTCCTGGCCAAGTACCCTAGCTCCTTGTTTTTGTCGCCTGGCTATCCTGCCCTCATGGTGGCGTGCATCTCGATGACTCCCCCACATCACCATCTCGAAGCACCCGCCCTCCCTTTTTACCTAGGCCAGGCCTTTCCCATGCCTCATCTCCCCTCCCTTCTGCTCTCCTGCTAATAGCAAGATGTCTTCCACATTCAGAGTCTGGATCAGCCAGTGACTGGTCCATTCTTGACTCTGCCTCCTGCTCTTGGAGGACCTTCCAGTCTTCTTCCCACACATCCACAGTGATGCTGACAGCTGTAACCCTCACCACTCCCTCCCACTGGCCCCTACAGGCTCTGTGGTTCAACTGCATTCCTGTGCTTCAGCCCCGCACTTGGTCACCCATCTACCCAGCTGACCTTTCTCTGCAAAGGTTTTTGGTATCCTGCAGAGGCCCCCTCCTAATGTAGGCCACCCCTTCTCCAGGCTCCATCCTCCTCCTAGCCACCTGCCTTGTGGCAGTGAATCATACTCTTTACGTTCCTCCCCGTGGCAGCTCTAAGTCCTAGAGGCAGAGTTGTGCCAGCCTGCCCCAGTGCTGTGCAGCACGTGGGAGGGCGGATTGAATCAGTGCTGCATTGGATCAACCTGGAGGACCAAGGGATGGGGCTGAACCCCTGACATGGGATGGGTTGAAGGGGCCCTGCACTTCTATCCTGTCTGTCTTGTGCCCCCAGCTTCACCAAATGGGGTGCCTGAACCCCTGCAAGTTCAGATCCTTTGCTCAAGGTCTGAATGGTGGGAGGAGCTTGTTCCTCCTCCCCCTTGGTTATGGCATTGCTGTTTGCTCAGCAAGTGTCCTCAGGGAGGCAGGATCGGCTGTGGGGGAGGTCATGGCATTTCCAAGGCAGGAGAGGGTTTGGATCGGGGTGTCAGGTCTGGCAGGTGCTGTTTTCAGCAGTGCTGTCGTGCTGGGTTCCTTGAGGATGAATTCAACTTGAGTGATCACTGCGGTGTGATTGTGGAAGCAGCGCCCGTTGCAACTTAATGGACTGAGGGTGGAGCTGGAGCTCTAAGGACTGGGGACAGTTGGAGAGTAGACGGATGTTCTCTAGTTTGCCAGTTCATTGGAAAGCTGTACATCTCCATGATCTAAAATGGTAAGCTGATCTGCTTATTCTTGCCCCTACCCTAGTTTATCACGTGAGATTCTAGCATGAATTGTTCAGCATTCTGCTGTCTGGAATCTATGCAGCGGAATAAATAAAAACTAGCTCTTGGCCTATACGTCTCACTACAGCAATCAAATTGATGGATTAAAATGGTGAAATTTATGGGCAAAGCATCAGAGGCCTTTAAGGTAAACCAGGTAGTGTGCTGTTCAAGCCTTTATCGATGCAAAAGGGATGCAGGGCCCCAGAGGTGAGACAAGGGTAGATATTTCAGGGGACGGTCAGGGGGAGTCTCTGGCCTTGGGTCTCTGGCCTCTCATACCACAGGGTGCTTTAAGCAGGATGCATTTTGAGGGAGGGATATGTGAATGGTGAAATAAGGTAAGAAGCTGGTAAGGTTTGGGATGGTGCCACCCTAACTTGCCGAGAAGGCCTAACTGCAGAGCTGGGCCTGTGAAACTATTTGGCCACGAGCACATCCTGCACTGCTGTTGAGACCTTTGTAAAAGCTAAGTTTACATCTGTGTACAGAACAGGACACTGTTAAGCCTGAACTGGACCAGTGTCAACAGTGCAGTCCTCGAGCCTGGCAGCCGAAAACAGCTGCAGAGAAAGGGCAATGCTGCCATCGTGAGGCGTGAGCTCATCTCAGAGTGCCCGCTGGCATGTCCATCAGGACGACAGATGCTGGGCTGCTGCTCCGCTGCCTGGGCAAAAACTGGAGCTTTGGCTTGTTTGCTTTTGCCTAGCTTGAGGTTATGCTTGCTTAACAGAATCCTCCCTTTGGAAACATCTTTCTTTTGTCCTCCCTAGGTACAAGGATTCTTCAGCTCTTTGAAAGAAAATGGCTCTCAGCTCCGTTGTGTCCAACAAACAATTGAGACCATTGAGGAGAACATACGCTGGATGGACAAGAACTTTGATAAAATCAGAGCGTGGCTGCAGAACGAGAAGCTGGAACTCCAGTAACTCCCTGCCTCGCCAGGATGCTGCATTCCACAGGCCCCAGAGCTCTGCGCATGCGGCCGCTTTCAAATGCCCGCACAGGCTGTACACTCTTCCCTCCAACTCATTGGTCCGGCCATTCCTAGAAAAGCTTTGGCTGCTGGGTTTCTCAATGTGCTTTTCTGCCCCCGGATTTCATACACAGGTGTTGCCTGCAGTGTAGAGGTAGTGAGTCTCCAAACTCCGTGTGTGTCCCTTTCTTTTGTGTTATGCTTAAGCCTTCCAGCATACACACCCTTCTCTTCCAGGCCTCAGTCATCCACAATCCATCCCCTCCCACTCCTGGGAGGACTCCTGATACTGTGAAGACTGAATGCCCACTCACTTGGATCCTGGCTGAGGCCACCCCTGCTGTGCTGACGGCCACCCCCTCAGCTGGGCTCCAAGCCAGGGTTAGGGCCCTCTGGATTCTGGTCAGGGGGCAGCCGCAGGGGCTTGGGGCTGGATTGGAGGCAGGAATGGGGGGGGGTGGTGAATTCCCTGGTCTCACAGGTGGCTGTCTGCATCGAAGGCCTTGGCTCCTTCCCCTTCCGTACCAAGGCCTGCGGTGGAAGCCTACCTCTTAATGGTGCAGCGTGTATGTTGGTTTCTCTATGCTCTGCCTGCACCTTTGGTTTAGGAAAATTAAAAACCCCTCGGATGATTCTCATTGGTTATGCTTCCTCATAACCCAGGGTCCCTGGGCGCCCAGGTGAGTAGCCTCTGAGAAGGCAGGTTGAGGCGAACAGCCTTTTGTTTGAGGCTGTATGGAGAGCTGCATATCCTTAGAGGTGATGTTTTCTCTCTGCTCCTTACTTACAGTTCCTAAATAGCTTGTTACCAGTAAATAATTACCAAACTAAAAATATTTGGCCTAAAGGAAGACAGTATGATCTTGAGTACTACAGTCTTCCTATAGGAAGTTTAATTCTATGGCAAGTCACTATGAAATATGTAACTTTCTTGTAACTATTCCAGTTTCATTTTTAGGAATACTGCATGGTTTGAGGAAAAATGCAGAAATCAGACAATTTCCACCCCCCACAGTGGGGAATAACTTAAAAACACAATCAAGACTTCACTATTAAAATACTTTAATAGTAATTTATATTTTGATGAAACATGGGAATATTTTTGGTCATTCAAGAAACCTTTTTTGAGAGAAAACATTGCCACAACACTGCTGAAGCCCTTTTTGGTGATCTCAATGTTGTTTGCTCCTAACGGGTAACTTGTAATTACTGTCTGGGTAAAAAGGGAGTGATTTGATCTGGTAACACCTTGGAGATACTTCTAATAAAAAGACTGATTCAATGCCTCCCATAAATTATTCACAGGTGTCCATAAGTCACTGGATTTGTGGAAACTGGTAATTCTGCATCCAGACCCTTGTAAACCCACCTGTCAATGTCAAGTTGTTTCTTAAAACATCTGTCCAAATGGGAGAAAGGCACATTGTAAAATCTTTGAGGAAAGTTTCTTATGCTTTGTCCCATTTAAGACACTAAGAAGGCAGAGTTTGAAATTCCAGAGCCGCTTGATTTTTCAGGAGTCTATTTGATACATACAAGCAGTACCTTGCTCTGTGTCCTCTAAGAATTGGCTGGTACTAACTTTACGAAATGTCGTTTTACAAGAGCTTCAAGCCAAGACAGGCTGAGCTGTCAATTCCAGCTCGTATCGGGACATCGCTGCCTACGCTCAGCACCTGAAGATAGACAGCAATGACATCAGTGCAATGCTAAGATCTTAAACTCTCGACGTTCATAGGATATCAGTACCCGGTTCTTACGTCGGTGGGTCAGGAAAGCAGATGTCCTTCAGGTATGTGTCTTTCAAGGTGCAGGTTGCATTAGGTAAAGGGAACTCCTGAAGTCCAATGCTAGACAGTGCAGAGACAACCAGGGCAGTGGCTACCCTGCGGTGCCATGGCAGGAGTCTGAGTTCGCTCTGGTGTGGGGTAATTCCAAAGCCTGCATTTTTGCCCTTTCCTGATGACAAAGTCTCACTTTGTACACTAACTGGTGCAGTCCAGGCAAGGCAGAGATCAAATGCAAAGGAGTGTGGTGCCTCTGGTTTTGTCCAGCTTATATGTCAGTCCCCCAAGAGGAGATCAGAGCCCAGACTACTGTACATTAACCCCCCAAAAAATAGCTATTGCAGTTCAAGAATCCCAATAGCAGAACATGGAAGACTGTTAAAAACATTGTTGTGCAAATGCTAAAAAAAAGTGCAAATGGAAAATGCTAATGAGATTTATAGGCACTGGGTGTAGAATGTGCAAAAGTTTGCAAGTTTTTTTGGCATTGCTTATCCAATACTTAAAAATATGAAGCTTCCTTTCTGTCACAACTAAAGGCTATCTAACAACGTTCAACAAGTGTCAGTACCCAGTACAGCTACGCAGGGAATCAAGTTCCTTTTCCCGTCCGGAAATGCGCAACAAACCAATGCATAGGATGACGAGGCTCAATACCACTGTTGAGAAGCTACCCAGAAAAACGTTTCTGTTGCAAAAGCCTTTATTCTTCAAAAGTCACCATCCACCAGTTGAAGATTTGAGGTGCCTGGAAAAAACAAAAATGCAGTGAGCAATGTAACTTTCTTGTTGCAGGAATAGTAAATAGGCTATTTAACAAAGCACTGTGGCAACAAGAAATTTCTATTGATTAATACAATGTTAAACTCTTAAGATCTTAGCAGTTCTAACCAGTGTGCTTCTCCCTTTGTAGGAAAGAGCCTAACCCGATGTAACCTGCATTTTGATGTCTTCTAGGCTCTGGTCGGTAGTGGTTGTGTGGTTTATGACTCAGAGCTGGTCTGAAGGTCGCATAATGTTTGTGAAATCATTTTGTTTGGCCCTGCCAAGGTAACCACAGGTGTGACCTAAAATTCAATACATTTATAGCAGGCTAATCTTTAGGTTAATGATTGTGTGCTAGAATGAATGATGCTAGAAATTGCCAAATGACTCTTGGCAGAAAAACAATTCCCTATTCTGTCTTGGGAAACACCTTCTCTGAAAAAGTAAGATAAATGCCTGGTTCTTCAGATCTCACTCCATCTGTTGGATCTCTTGAGTCACCATAAATTAAAACCAAACAGGGCACTTTCTTAAATTAGGATACAAGTAGTCAATCCTTGCCTTTGCTCCCCATACTTCTCCCCCGCTCCAGTGTCCCCTAGATTGTATCTTAAAGACTTGAAAAGCCCTTCATTTGCTTTAACCCACTAACATGTAACCCATGATCTGGATTTCAAAGGTTTAACTAGCCTTATGGGGGCCTAACTTAAAAAAACTTAACTTTATTTGAAAGGCAGTTTCAAGGAGAGGCAGAAGTCCTCTGTCCACTGCCTCACTCCCCAAATGGTGACAGTCCAAAGCTCTGGGAGCCAGAAGCTTCCTCCCGGTATCCCATGAAGCAAGGAGTGACCAACCACCTTGTTAGCTTGTCGAGTACCATGGCTTGATTCTAATGTATAGTAACTGTAGCAATCCAATAGATGGAGTATTTCATCTGAGATTTGCCTCAAGAACCAGGCAGTTACCTCACTTTAGAAAAGCACTTGAACCATCCTGTGCTGCTCTCCTAGGCAGAGGTTTAACTTAATATGCTGGTCCCAATATTGGGACCAGCATATTAAGACTGATGCCTCTAAATATTGCAATAGATCAATCATGCCAATGCAGGGTACCTTCTAGAATGACAACTTCAGAATTCGTAGTGTGCACTGCATGTACAGCAGAGCATGGCACAGGAGGCAGACTCCTATTTCTCTGACTTTGGAACACACAAGGTAAGGTGTTTTTCGCTTAAAACATGTAACACCGAACTTACCAAACCATGTAAACTTTTAACTCGTAGTTTTTTCATTCTTTTTTGGCTTAGAGGTTTCCTCTGTCGTCTGAAAGGGAAAGTGCAGCCGTTAGTGAGTCCTTTTCTGGATTAAGGGTCAACGGGCATCATCAGAACACGGTGTCGGTGGCAGCAAGAATGCTCCTTTCTAGCTTTCTCTCAGGAAAATACGGACTTCTCCCACAAATTGAGTCCTTGCATTTTGCTTATAACTTATAACCTCCTTGCCTACGAATCCTGCTTCAGTACCACAGGAGCACTACACGTTTTCCCTCAAATTCTAGAACTGCATATTTTTCACCACGGTTAGGGAGTCATCGTAACAACCATTGGAATGGCACATTCTGGAAGGAATGTAATCAATTTCTGCTCCTGACTGCAGTAGGAAGCGCAGAAATGGAGCCTATAGCTCCCTTATGCTTAGTTCTGCCTTCTAGAACAAATCAAAAACTTTTTCCATAGTCCCTTTACCTCCCAACTCCAGAGATCACCTTTTTATCTAAACGTCATCCTTGGGTGGTATTTTAGCAAGGGCAGCAAACAGGCACCTTAAATCGGGTTAAGAACACTCATATTTTTAAAGTGCTAGTTATTAAAAGTCCATGGGAAATGAACTTAAGATTGGGTTGCTTCAAATCTTTAAAATCCACATAGTTTGGAGCAACTGCATTTTCCAGTAACTTTTAAGATATACAGTGTATGTAGGGTGGAGTTGAATTAGTGATATCTAGATACACTAATTAAATAGCAGGATAAACTGGGCTCACCTTTGTGGAATCCTTTGCTTTGTCTGCATGTTTGGCCGCTTTGTTACTAGACGCTGTCTTCTTGCTCTTATCCTACAGTGAAGGATGGGAAGTTAGCAAGCTGGGTGGCAGATGAGTGCTTCTGGTAGCCCACAGATACTAAACTTAAGACAGGAGGTGACAGACAAGGACGAAGGAAGATATCTGGGCTCTGCCCACTTGCATGGTACGTGGCTCATGCAGCCCTTACTTTGCTCATTCAGAACTTGTCAGTGATCAGAAATAACACGAGGGGAAGAGTGTGGAGAAGAGAGACCTCTTACTGTTACATTAAGGAGGTTCCTAACAAAATTACAGATAGAACCCATCACACGGTCCATCAATCCCTCCTGGGTATACACTCAAAGAGAAGTCTCCACAAACATAACCTGCATCCATCAGTACATGAATGGATGAAGATCCTGCAGGGGAGGAATGCTGGGGAAAGCAATGGGAATGGCACCAGGACCTGGAGTGTGCATTCGAGTCCTGGCTCTACTCCCAATTGCAGCTTCCTGCACTTGCTGCCCTAAGATGTGGCAGCTGCTGACCACAGTGGTCTGAGTCCTGCCACTCCCTGGAGGAGGCCTGCAGTGAGCTCCTGGCTCCAGGCTTGGGCATAGCCCAGCCTCAGTCCCTGGACAGTGGGGAGTAAACCAGCAGATATTAATACTGTTAATCTGTTTCTACTATTCAAATAAAATAAATGCATACAAATAAAATCCTGTTCTTTATGCAATCAATACTTGTCCATGTCTGGTTTATTTCAAGAGCATAATCTCATGTGGAATGAATACACGCACACATTTAAAGACTTCTGACAGAATAACATGGGAGGGGGTGGAGATAAGTGGGGAGCAAAGTATTCAAAACAAGTTGAGAGATTTAATGTTCAATGTGAAGACTAGAATTTACTACTGGTTATTAACTAAATAGTAGTTAAAGTATTCATCATATAACTGTGCCATGGGGGCCAGAACTAAACCCTGCTCTCCCAGTTGGGAGGCAGGAAGACAGCTCTGAGCTTCCGCTGCAGCCTCCCATGGCTGGCATTAGCAGGAAGCCATAGAAGCCAGAGCCAGGAGTCAACTCAGATATGACTTGGGATGCAGCATTTTCACTGGCACCTTAACCATTAAATGCCTGTCCCATGGCTCTCGTTCTAAATGAACAGAGGGCAGGCACTGCAGCACGGGCTGACAGGCTGCCTGGGACACCGGCCTTCCATATGTGAGTGCCTGGGATACAGACCTGGCTGCTCCACTTCCAAATCCAGCTTCCTGCTAAGGCACATGCCGGGAAGTGGCAGATGATGGCTCAGGACCAAGATGATGGCTCCTACTACCTCAGTGGGAGACTCCTGGCTTCAGTCTGGTCTAGCTCTGGCTGCTGCAGACCATCAAAGAGTGATCTCTCCATTTCAAATAAATAGAGGTACGTAAACATTAAGGATCATGAGCACCAATGACATAATGTACCACCGAAGTCATGCTACATTATAAAGTGGCGATAGAAAATGATGGCTGTGGACATTATACAGCCACAGGCACGAACAACTCGAAGCCACTTCAATAACCAATGGTCTGAATGTGTAATTCTGCAACACATGCACAGAGAACAGGATAAAGGAAATAGAGAAGAAAGTGGGGTAATGAAATCAGAGGTATTTTTCCTTTTGTCTATTTCCAAGTTCTCTGTGGCATTTTACAGTGTGTTCTACATCTCAGGTAAGACCACACGCAGACACATGTGCGCACACATGGATATTTCAGAGTGGAGATGAACAAAAGCATCGTACCTTCTTGGCGTCCTGTGAGGTCTCTGTGGCTGAAGGGCAGCTGTCCAGGTCTGAGGAGAGGGCATCAATGGGGTCCTGTTCACCTGCAGGCTTCTGGGATAGTAACAGACCCGTTGTCAGGGAACGGGTCCAGGCAAAGCACCCCGTGGGGCAGGTGTGCATAAAAAACATATCATTAAGAAAAAAAAAAAGGTTGCTCTTCTAACAATGTATCATAACACAGGCAATAAGGGGCTGACACAGTTCCAGTTTCGGCAGTTCCAGCTTCTGAGGCTACTCTGCTTGCACTCCAGCTCTCTGCTTCTCTGTCTGGGAAGGCAGCAGCAGACAGCCCAAGTCCTGGGCCCTGCCAGCCACCTGGGAGACCTGGGTGGATTTCCTGCTTTCTGACTTTTGCCCAGCCCAGCCCAGCCCAGCCCAGCCCTGGCTGTCGTGGCCATCTGGGGAGTGAATCAGCAGATGGAAGATCATCTCTCCTCTCTCCCTATTATTTTGCCATTCAAATAAAATTTATAAAGGCATTAAAGAATCCTGACCATTTGATTTTCTTCTAGTCTTATGTTTTATTTGAAAGGCACAGAGAAAGAAAAAGGCTTTTTCTGGTTCACTCCCTAAATGCCACAAAACAGCCAGGACTGTTTTGTGCCAAAGCCAGGAGCAGGGAATGCAATCTGGGTCTCCCACATGGGTGACAGGGATCCGGGTTCCTGAGCATCACCCGCTGTCAGAGTGAGCAAGGCCAGGAAGCTGGGATGGAGAGGGCAGCCCAGGCTAGAAGCCCAGCACTCGGATGTAGAATGGGGGGTTCTCAAACAGGCACCCCACGCTGTCCCTCTCTGCCTTGATGGAGGCTGTTCAGTGATCCTTTGGGCCTCAAGTTGTTCCCCCAGATGGTAGTCCTGCTACCTCACCGGGATTTTGAGCAAGCTGGGAGGTAAGTCTCCCACACTGACATGTGTGCCTTGGCACGTCATGAAGCACAGGGCTGGCATGCCACCAGAGATGGCTTTTCTGGAATGCGGATGACGGAGGACAGCTACTACTAGAACTAAAAACTGTCATGGAAACAGGCTCCCGTGGCATTTACCTTCATTTCCTTTGATTTCTTTGAGGTTGGCTTCTCCGGTTTGTCCTTAAAAACAAGGCAGATTCTGGGTTACAAGGAGATCTTTGTGCAAGTTTATTTTGTGCAGCGAGTCCTTACAGGAGCTGTGACCCAGTGGCTTGATTTGGCTAAGATGGAGTATAGATAAACAGTAAGTAATGAACCCCGGTCTCTGCTGTTACTCAACCAGTTGTGCTTCATTGCCCTTAGAAACCATTCAGAAGCACCTGGGAGAACCCAAGAGTCTGGGATGAGAAAGCTTTGTTTTACAATTCTACTTCAAATGTTAGCACAAGTACCTCCTCTGACTGCCGACAGCATCTCGCCCTCTGAGAGGATATGAGATTCTTTTCAGATTAGCTCACAAACACAACAAACTTACATGGGATCTTGCTGTCCTCCAGGGCAAGGACACTGTTGTGTGCATTTCCCAAGGTGGGATGAGGCCAAACTGCTGCCAACGGAGCTGCCCTCAGAGTGAGCGGATGCTGCGGGGTGCAGAAGAGCTGCCGGGGAGCTGGCTCTTGTACCAGGCAGCCTCAGCGCTGTCTACACCAGGGGTTCTCTTCCCCACCAGCCAAGTCAGCACAAACACAGCTGAAGTTCATGTGGACTTCACTGAGCTGAGGACCAGGGTGAGTGAGTCAGCCTGGGCGAACACAAAGCTGCCTTCCACGTTAGACACTAAAGGCTGCTGGCTGACAGACCCTGCTCATCTCCCAGTGTGGGATGTGGCTTTGCCTGTCTTGAGTGTTGCCTGGTGGGAGCAGGGCAGGAGAGAGGAAGACCCTGGTCTTGGTGTGACCTTACTGTCCTGTGCATGATGCCAACACTCACTCCTGTTTTGTTCTGTGCATAGCAACTTGCTTTTTAATACTCTATTCAGGCAATCTATATCATGAAACACTACATGGATGCATGGGTTAAAAAAAATTCTTTGGCATCACAGTCAATTAAACTTCTAGTTCTATTTTCCATGAACTTCCTGAGGATCTCCGACCACCCTAGGAATGACTCTGCAGCACTACTGAGTAGCTAAACACTGTTCAACTCTGCCTAGACCACAGGGTCCAGCATGTGACCAGCACACAATATTCGCTCAAATCAATCCTGGCAGCCGTCTACACAGCCTGCTCCTCACCAGCAGGGCCTGCTCAGAGCGAGCAGTCATGACACAGTTGTACCTGCTTGTCGGAGAGCATGCCTTCACCTCACAGCAAGAAAGGTTTGCGTTTGAGCAGTACTGCGAATCCAGCACTCTGGGCAGTGGCCTTGTGTACCTTGTCACCTTGGTCCAGCAGGTGTCTGTACTCGGGGGGGATGGTGTCATCTCTCTCCCCAAGCTTGTCTCTGTGCTCCTTTTTGGCTCTCTCCTGGAAACAGCAAGTGGAAATCGTGAACATCTCTTTCCTCCTCCCTTCTGAAAAGCAGCATTCAGTACCTAGGGTGGGTTTGCTTTTTCTTCAGAAAAATGAAATGGATGACAACAGACTTGAGTTGGTGGGAAAAAAAAAGAAATCCTGTATGTGTATGCATTAGGCCATTTGCACGAATTCTGCATTTGTATTTTAAATGGGAATGAATTATTATGTAATTATCCTGAGGAATCATGTTGGGAGATTAAACCCAAAGGCGGAAAATATGTTCTAAAACATTTTCACGTTTCAAATACAAAACATGGTCACTGCACCTTGGCATTTAAGGAGGTAGTGTTTACAAGTATAACTGTTAAAAATTTTATGAGACAGACTACTAACTCCTACCCAACAGAACAGTGAGGCTCAGGTCTTCCAGGTGGGAAGTGGGCAGGAACCCAACCCCTTGAGCCTCCCAGTGTGCACATCAGTGGGAAGCTGGAATCAGGAGCTGGAAGTGGCTGTGGAAGCCAGGCACCCCACTACGGGCACAGTGTCCCAATCAGTGATGCAGCCATTTGGCACAGTCACCTGCCACCCCAGGAGGTGGAGCCAGAATGGTGGCCAAGTTGGTGAATGTGTGTGCGGGCCCCATGGGCTGCAGATGAGGCAGCCACAGCCAGCTCAGGCAGCCTGGCTCCATCTCAGGTTTCACGGCCCCTGCTCTGCCCCAGTGGGGTGCAGACTTATGTTTCTACATCATTATAATGTCATTTTTCAACTAGGGGTTACGTAAGCATCTGTATTCCTTTGACAATCACTGAATCAAGATCTAAGGACTTTCTGACATGCTGCCACTGGGATGTTGACCTTGCTGGTCAAAAGCTATTTCCTGGTTCCATGCTGAGAGTCAGACAGACTCAAATTCCATATTGTGTATTGCAAAGGATGGATGTGTGCTTACATGTATCATGTACAATACTGCATGAGCTCTTTGCGTGTTGCACACACCTCTGTGTGTCTGCCCCTAAGTTCTCCCATGGGGGGCTGGGCTCAGCACCTGCTAGGCAGGTGGCTCACACTGCTGCAAGTACAGAATGTGACAACCCACCACAGGTGTACACACACGTGCATGTGTATGCCTTTGTCATGCACAGATGGTCTCACTCCAGATAAGAGCTGGGGAAGTTCATGTGGGAAGAAAGTATAAAATCAGCAAGCAAAATTATGCTTCTTCATCACAACTAAGTCTGGTCTCGCCAACAGGATATTTGCCCATAACACAATCTGTGCCATAAACAAGTCCCCAAGGAGACAACAAAGGAATGTAACAGAGACATGAGGCAGGCTAGCCAACTGGCACTGCCTCTGGACTCAGTCCGAGTGGTCCCCCCTCTTCTGTGGGTGCTGAGCTTACATGCTGCAGAAACCTTCAATTATTTTTTCCTACCTTCACTTTATCCTCTATTGGTTTGTTTTCATCTGGATCAGGCTGCCTTTGCCCAAGACTGTCAGAAAGTTTGTCCAAAGCATCGTCAAGTTCTTTGTCACTAGGCTGAAAGACAAATAATTCTCCCTCAGCCACTGGCAGTTCAGGCCAGGAGCCCTGTCTTTGCAGGAGGGGACTCCCTTTCCTGGAGGAGAGACGTGGGGAGGTGCAGGAGGCAGACAGGGTCAGAGAAGTAGAGGAGAAGTGGCCAGCACAGCAGCCATCAACCTGACTGGGCTGGAGGGCCAGCAGCCCTGCCCGCCCAGCCCATCCTCTTGGTGAGAATCCCAGTGGCCCACATATCAGGGACTGTGGCCCCTAGCAAGTGAACCTGGAGATGACCCAGATGGACCATAAGCTGAGGAACCAACCCCGTGCCTCTCATGCGACAATCAGCCAGGACGGAGAGCTGGGAGTGAACACCCAGCGATGTTGTCCAGTAATGAGTGCATGTCCAACAAAGTGCACAGGAAGCACTGTGCTCCACCTCCATGCAGAGCTCAATTCAGAAACGTGTGGCATGTGTGCCTGGGATGAGGTGCCATGCTGGGTTCTGCCTCATCTGGTACACCGCTTTCTGGATGCTTTGCAGAGTAACGCAATCTCTCACGTCTGTGACCACTCTCTGAGTAAACCAGACCGGTTTCTCAGGGGAAGAAAGTGGGCTCAGGGACACAATATTGGATGCCTAAGGCCAACTTATGAAAAGCCAAGGGCAGGGCAGGGCAGGGCAGGGCAGGGCAGGGCAGGGCAGGCAGGTGTTGTGGGCCAGTGGGTGAAGCTGCCACTTGGGATGCCTGGCTCCCATTTCAGAGGACCAAGGCCCTGCTCCGGCCTGTGTTATCCGGGCCTCTGGATATTTTTCCAGACCATCTGGGGAGGATGCAGCAAGATGAAGATCCTTGGGCATTTGCGGCAGCCAGAGGGCAGGACGCAATGCGGAGCTGCCCCAGACACTTCCTCTCCACCCAGCACCAGGGCGGGGATCAGAGCTGCAGAAGGCCTCTACCTTCTGATGAGCTGTGGGTAATGGACCCCTTGGCACCGTGGACACTGGCATTTGATCAAGGGGGTTTGGAAAAGCTTTGGCGCCGCGGCCTCACCTCGGAACACGTAAATAATCAAAACAACATTGAGGCTGAGCTACTTGTCTCACTAGCCCGAAGGTGCCTGAATTTGACCTAGGTGTGCATGGGAGACAAATAGCACTGCCCCATGGTGTTGGTAGCATTTTTCTTTTTTTGTTTTTATGAAGTTTAAACACTGAGCAATTCCATGAAATAAACATGAGGTTAGACACTGGGTGGTGAGAGCACCTCTCCATAGGAACAGACAGAAGGGCATTACCAGGGAGGCTAAAGCATTTTGCAAATCTGGCAATTGGAAACAAAATTCAAGTTACTGCACTTTTTAAAAAAGCACCGACGATAGGAAGCCCTCAGCTGGCCTGACACTGCACAGCTCCGTGCCCTCTCCCTCGCTGCCGGCCCAACAGAGCCCTTCCGAGACAGAAGGCGTCCGAGCGCCTCACGGCCATAGCTGCTCTCGGTCGCTCAGAGCAGCTGCCTATTTTCCTTCTTTCGAGTGTTTTTCCCAGGAAGATGGGCAACTAACCTGTGCGTGAGAGGGCGGGACTGCAGTGTGGGTGACAGGCGCTGGCGTGTGGGAGACCACTTCAGAGACAGCAGCGGCAAGTTTGGCATCGTCGAATTTCTTGTAGTTAAAAGTAAGACACCGTGGTCAGTAACACACTTTATGAAGCGTGCCCACCATCACTATTGCTCCAGGCTGTCACTCCTTTCCCACCAGGTATGTGTCCCATGCTGACTGGTTGCTGGGCTCCTCCATGCCACTGTCCCCATAGGGACCGGCTGACTCTGACCTTGCTGATGTCAGAGTTCTTTGGTGCCATGGTTTAAAAACCAGGTTCACTGTAAGTGCACAACTCCAACCCCACAATGAAAGCTGGGGGCTTCAACACATGTGAAAATACACATTTCCATACATAAAGCCAAGGAGACCCTAGAGGAAAGAAACATGCCCAGCAGGACCCAGCCCTGCCCCAGCTGCACGGCAGCAGAAGTCCCTGTAAGGGGGCCAGTCTACACCGCCGGCAGCTAAGTCTTCCTAGCAGGCAATCTGCCAACGATCACTGTGACCATTTGGGATGCATTCGCACTTCTCTTTGCACAGGGTGCAAGTCTCACTCAGCGGGCACAATCAGCGAGGGCACTGCCACCGTGTACTATCTTAGGACATATCCCATGGCACATGGCACACGTTCTTACAGCTACCATGGTTGCAGGCTGTTCACGGTGATTTCTTCACCTCTCAAGTTATAAGCTCCCTCCCTACAGCAAGAGAAGCCGAGGGCTCCGCACTCACAAGGGGTGATGCTTTCGAGGAACTCCCGAAGTCCTCAGACAAGGCATCCAGCAGATCGTCCTCGGTCATGGCCTGCAAAGCCAGGAAACGCATCAGCAGGTATGTCGGCCTATCTGACCACCCGCCTCCTCTCCCGAGCGCCTTCCCAGTCACAGGCTGATCAGACTGCCATCCCTCCCGAGTTACTAATGAAGGGCAGAGGGACGAGAGAGGACTACCCTGAGAACATGTGTTTGCTTACTGGAAACTCTGCCTTGGGCTCTGCTGGTGGGAGTGATTTTCCATCTTTATCCTGTCCAGGGAAAAACATGACATTGAAACACATTTTGTCCCATGTATGAAATTTTGTTCAACTGTAAGGGATCAACATGATACACCTATTATTGTGCAAACAACAACAACAACATGTATTTGAGAGACAGGAGAGCACATGAGCAAGCAAGCGCCACCGTCTGCTGGTTTACTCCCCAACTTTAGCCAGCAGGTGAGGTTAGGCTGGGCTAACACAACCTAGGTCTCCCACACAAGTGGCAGGAACCCAAATACTGGAGCCATCACCACTGCCGCCCAGGGTCAGGAGCTGGAGCTGGGAACGGAACCCATCTTGGTACCAGCTGCAATCCTGGCTGGTCCACTTCTGATCCAGCTCCCTGCTACTGTGCCTGAGAAACAGTGAAGGGCAGCTCTAAGTGCTTGGACCCTGCTACCCACATGGGAGACCAGAACGAGGGTGCAACACTGCAGCCTGGTGCAGGACTGGCCATTACAGCCACCGGGGGAGTGAACCCGAGTAGGGATCTCAATCCTTTTCTCTCCCCTTTGTGTCCCCTTCCTTCCCTCAGCTTCTACAATACACAGATCTCTGAAAAGGAACTGTAAAATGCAGAAAGACGTCAGAATGAAGGAGTACAACAGATTCCCAGGGAGCAGCGCACATCTCTTGTGTTTACAAGTAAATGGCTGGTGCCTGTGGATGAGTGGAGAGTGTGTCTCAGCTCCCCAGAACTATAGATGGAGTTGAGGCGGATATTCTTTTAAAATCTGGTTGTGCAGCTGCCTGGCATTTGTCTGCCTGTGTGTGCACCTCCTCTGCCCCAGTGACAGCACTTGGATGACGAGGTTCAGAACAGGGTCTTCCCCCTGTTGCTGGAGCTGTACCATCTCTATGTTCCAAATAAGGAAGTCACTCACTCCCTGTTAACCAAGCTTGAATTTTTCCAACTGATATCTCAGAGTTGTGTATTTTTCTGTTTCTGATTGTGTCTGTTTTCTCTGTTTTCCAGGCACTGGATAAGCCTTGTGTTGGGAGGAAAGCAGATTGCCTTCACGGAGCAAAGAACGAGAAGACCACCTGAGATCCTCGCTTCCTGCCGCGCTATGAGCAGAATCTCTCTGGCGTTGCAACGTTAAGAAATGACATCTTCCTCCAGGCCTGCTCCCATGCCCCCTGGGATGCAGATACACTCACTACGAATGACAGACAGACAGGAAAGCACTGCATCTGCTTACCTTAACCTCTTCCAATCTATAATCGGGGGGAATCGTTTCTTCCTTCTCTCCAAGCTTTTCTCGGTCTTTTTCCTTGGCTTTCTCCTGGACAAAAAACACACCACATTGGCTGTTGAGACACTGTCCTCCCATACAAGACACCTGAGCGACGGCACTTGAGGTAAACGGATCTATCAGGACACTGGAGCACATGGGGCGCGGGCCTGGAACTGCCTCAGCAGCTCGAGTCATCTAATGCTGCCTCTGAGGGCAGTGGCAGGCTCAGACGCCAGACACCTGCTGGGCTAAAGGTGGGGTGTAAGGGGCAGCACACAGCCACCACGGAGCAGCGGGGCTGCAAGTGGACAAAGCTGAGACCTGGAAAGGGCTGCCTCATGTAAGCTGCCCACCCACGGCGTCCTGGGCTCCTGGGACTGTGCAGGGGTAGCTTCATAAACGAGATAATAGGTGAACCTGGTCACTGATGACTGACATATTGGAGAAGAAAGGAGATAATGATGAAGGATAGCTTTTGTCTAGAAGACTGAGCTGCCATTACCTTGGTTTGATCTGCCACAGGTTTTCCATCCTCTGGGTCAGCTTCCTTCCTTCCCAGGCTGCTGGCCAGGGTGTCCACGGCGTCATCTGGCACTCGGCCCTTCTGCCAAGCAGCACAAGTGGATAGGCTAAGTAGGAGGTTAATTGCTCCTTCATCACAGACTCTATGGTCCAGAAACGCCACCCTGACTTCAGCCCTGGATCAGCACACATTGTCTTAATAACTGGGAGCTATTGATTGAATTAGGATGCATCCTGATCCGGTTCCCGCCTCTGATGGGGCTCGGAGTGTGCGTCCTGATCAGGCACCGGCCAGTTGGCATGGTAGTCTGCCCAGGATGCACCTGCCCCAGGTGGCACCAGCAGAACCAGAGCCTTGTGGTTCAGAATGTAATGTGCTCCCTCCCCATGATCCCGGGAGCTCAGGCCACACTGGTGTGTCAAAGGGAACTGGACAGAGACAGAGCATGACTGGTGTGACGGGACAATAAAGGATAAACCGACACTGGGCTAAAAGACTGATGATTTCTGGGGCTGACGTGGTGCAGTGGGTTAAGCCGCTGTTGTGACCCCATGTAGGGGTGTGGTTCTAGTACCGGCTGCTCTGCTTCTGATCATGAGCACCCTGTGGGGGGCGGGTAGGGGACAGACGATTGCTCAAACACTCAGGTTTGTACCCTCTACATGGGAAAGCCAGATTGAGTTCCAGGCTCCAGGCTTCAGCCCAGGGCCCCATCTTAGCTGTTGGGGACACTTAGGGAGTGAACCAGAGGATAGATGTATTATTGGCTCGTACCTTCAATCCAAACACTCCTGGTCAGTGCTGTTTCTTTTCATGGACAGAACAGAAAAGAGAATACAGCAGCCCGAACCGGGTTTGCCCTGTTTTTTAAGCCGTGGTTTGTGCTGCCTTGGTCCTGGGTCTCCTATTGTTAGCCTTGGCCAAGCAAACATGATGGGCTCTCACTGTGTCAGACTTTATTCTTATTGCAGAAGTCCTTGACCTCACATTGGGCATTTATTTAAATTTTAGAGTAGAAATTTATGTATCAGACATCATTTCAAGTAATTTTTTTCAACTAGTTTATTACAAAAAACAAAACCAAAAAACCAGAAAAGAGGAGCCTAAATGGAAAGAAATTTGACGCCATCTAGTGGCTGTACATTGCCTTGATTTTATTCCCAGGATAATTGCTTGGGACTGCACTAAAATACCAGACACACAGTGGCAGCCAAACGTCACCCAGGCTGAGGGTGACACTTTCTCATGCTTTACTTCTGTCTCTCCTGTCCGAAAACCTGTGCTTCCCAATGCTGTACCACTGAAAGATGTGGCCAAGAAGAACAGGACAGCTAGGGGCCCCAGGGCAGACTCCAGGCTAAGCCAGAGGAGGTGTTGTTCTCTCACCAACAGCCAACGAGGCAGCAAAAAGTCAACCAGACCAACACCAGAGAGAGGCAAGACCCAAGACCAGAAAGGATAAAGGACCCGGCCAACCTGGCCTCCTTTGGCCAGGAGAGCAGGGCGCACCTGCAATGATCCTGGTACCAAGAATCCCACTGTCTGTAGAATGCCAGACACTTTCAAGATGCAGGCAAGCAAAAAGCAGCACGCCGCGCATGGGAACTAGGAGGCGCCTGAGGTGGCGAAAGGGGAACTGAAGCTTGCTGCAACTGATAGCAAATCTGGGTCTGATTTTACAGCACTGGCCTGAAGCCACAAAGGACCACCTCCGACTATAGCGCTACTTCAGGTACTGGGATGGGCAGGCAAGGCATGGGGAAAAGGAGCTTCCCAGGACGCGTCTCAGTGCCCGGGGCATCGGACACTCACCTGGGAGGCAGGCTTGGCGGGCGCTGACTGCACGCTGCACATGGAGGTCCGGCCCACGGCTTCCGTCACTGGAGCGGATGTAGCGGCCTCCTTGGATTCCTGCGGAGGGAAGCAGGTGCTTTGAAGAATTGTCAAGGGCGCAGCTCCTGGCGCTGAGCAAATTTCTGGGAGGGAGCAGGACCTCGAGCCACTGCCTTACTACACCTCGTCACGTGCGCAAGGACAGCTGTCCTGTGGCCCATCGCCCATCAGTGACAGCCTCATCCTTAGCTAAGTTTCTTCTCTTCCTGAGCTTCAGGGACCACAGGCTGCAAGGGGATGGCCACAGCCAGGATCTGGGATCACAGCAAGCTCAAGCAACCTGAGCTGCTGTTGTAATTGTATTATCTATGTCATTATCCTGTTTTATATTATGCTATGTTATGGCTGTCATTTGAAGTTATGTAATTAGTTCACTACATTCTGTAATATATACTACTATACCACTGTTATAATACAATTGTAATTATGTTTTGTAAAATGTTTTCTAAAATATATGAAAATGCCATACAATATATTTACATATTTATAAAACATAGTTATAATATAAATACACACATATATAGGAAGTATACATTATATAACAATGGAATAAAAAAATGAGACTGGATTGATAGCAATCTAAGAGCCTGTTATAAACGGTAAGTAGTAACACGACACCAGACGTTCTAAGAGTATGGTCCTTGGAAATAATGGCATCTCTGGAGAACTTGCTGGAAATGCAGCTGCTGGGGCCTTCAACCCAAGCACCTAAGTCAGGAGTTCTGGGACCCAGCTGTGTCATTTTAACAAGCCCTCCGGGTACAGCCGGGCACACTCAGGTCCGAGTCTCACACTGCTGTCTCGTGCAGCCCCAGAAGTCCCCAGAAGCTGGGACCAGGAGGAAGTGAGAGCTGGGGAGGAGAGGAGATGCTGCAGCAGGACAATGAGGCAGCTAAACACGTGCCCCAGAAAGAGCCATTCAAGCCAAGCCCAAAGGTGTGGGAGGCGGAGGGAGGAGGCCGCTGCACGGCAGGGAGGGCTACGTGGGAGCAAAGAGGAAACTGCCGGTTTGAGAGCTTCCCTGAAGGAGTAACTACAGGGCCTACAATGCAAGAAAACCAGGGTCAGCGTGGGGAAAGATTCAGAAAAACAAAACAAAAAGACAAAACTGCATGTAAAAAAAAAAAAGGAAAATCAACCGATTCTTACTCAAATGGATTTGCTCTCACATATAAGAGGACACAACAGTCATTTAAAAAGTCCTCACAACTAGAGCTTTATACTTTTAGAAACCTACCTCTGTGCTTTCAGCTGGCTTCGACTGTTTGTCTTTCCATTCCGTGCGGCTGAATCCTTCGGACAGCTCATCAATGAGCTCCGACTCACTCCGTGCCTGTGAGGGTGGAAACACGGCACATCAGGAAGGGACTCTTCATTTTAAAAAGTTCAAGAGCAAATTTTATTTCCTGGCAAACACATACTGGACCGTGTTTATAGATTTCTTCTACAACCCAAAGCCTGGTTGACATTAGGCATATTTTCCACTAACTAACGTAAGATCAGAATGCTGTGCTGCAGGGAAGCCACAGTGAGCGAGCTCAGCCCGCCTGCGGCTGACGGTGTGGTCTACAGTATGAATGAAACAGTCGGCTGTGTCCATGAGCTGGACAGCGCTTATGTGGTTGTTTTCTGCGGAGGCCAGAGAAGACAAAGCATGGCCTCAATTCAGACACACCTGTGGGCCTGAGGCAGGAAGGGTCTGCCTTGCCCTGTCACCTCGGCTACGAGGCACCTGACCCAAGCAGGCGCTGGCCCAGCAGGAACGGCCCAAGCTCGGGGTCTGCTTATAGCACCTCTGTGTGTCTCACACGGGAATCACAAGCTCCTTCTGCTTTCACTAAGGACTCCTCCGGGGTCACAGGCAGAAGCAGCTGCTGCAGCCCTGGGCAACCAATGGGTGAGCAATAAATCCTGCCAACTTGAGGCGACAGGGCCTCACTGGGGCATGTGACACTACAAGGCGGCTCAAACACTGAGCGGGAGCCTAACCTTACCCACCTCCGGACACAGCTTACCGTGTCCAGGGACTGTTACCTGGGAACTTTACAGTGGATATAAGTCATCAGCAAAATCATTCAAAAGGTACAAAGGAAGTCAGCTGAGCAGCTCTGCACTGCCACCAGAAGCTCTTGGTATAAACTTGGCACGCGAGTCTCCAGGAGGGGACACCTGCTCTGCCAGCACCATCCTTCATTTCTACTTCATACCCCTATCGCGTTGTAGCATTAGAGAAAAAGTGAGGCCCCAACCTTTGGTTTCTCTTCAGGCTCTGGTAACAGTGGCTTCCCATCTTTATCCTGCAAAAGAGACCAAAAATTTACTGGAAACCAAACAGGAAATTCCGCTTTCACATCTGTTCTATTCTTTGGGGGAGAATCTCAAGATAAGAGAGGTAAGCTTATTTTATTATTATTTTTTTAATGTTTAATGAATAAATTTCTGTCTCAGACTTAGCTTCTTAAAAATAAGGAATCACAGGTCCAGTGTTATGGTTCAATGGCTAAATCCACTGCCTGTAAAAGCTGAGATCCCATGTGGGCACTGGTTCGTGTCCTGGCTGTTCCACTTCCCTTCCAGCTCCGTTTGTGGCCTGGGAAGAGTTTGGCCCAAAGCCTTGGGAACCTGCATCTGTGTGGGAGACCCAAAGAAGCTTCTGGCTCCTGGCTTTGGACCAGCTTATCTTGGGCCATTGCAGCCACTTGGGGAGTGAACCAGTGGACAGATCTTTCTCTGTAGCTCCTTCTCTTTGTATATCTGCCTTTCCAATAAAATAAATCTTAAAAGACAAAAAAAAGTTAATGGGAAAATAACTTTTTCCATCCACTGGACAGTAAGGATTCAGTGGCAAGAATGTTGCAGCCAAGTTAATGGAGTCTCTAACGAAAAGACAAAGACGCAGACACATCTGGAACAGTTTAGTTTTCTCTATATGAGGTTTCTCAGCCTAGTGTTTGTAACAGTAAAAGCTTCCTCACGTGGAAGTATGCCAACTGCAGTGTCCCCTACATGTATTTATATGTGTGACTGCAAACAGTCATGAGCCTTAGCACAACTCAAACCAACATTGCTGCCACCGCTGTGACCAAGGAGATAGGCAGGCAGCTGTGAACCTGTGATGCTGTCACCCACATCAACGGCGGGGGGACCTACTCCCCAGTTCTGCTTTCTGGTCAAGTGTGTGCAGCAAGGCTCAGAGCTGGTCAAAACACAGTTCTGTGGGGGACTGGGCAGCTGCAGAGTCACTTCTTAGCAGGTGAGGCGGGGCACAATGCCCCCTAGGGTGTCTGTGAGGGGCAGAGGAGAACCTAGGGTTTCCGCAGTTGGTGTCAGGGCTGGGACAGTCGCACCGTGAGACCAGGGCCACAGCCATAGGGGAGCATGCACGCGTGCTAAACTCACCGTGGCTGGCTTCAGTCTGTACTCGGCCGGCACAGTCTCGTCATCCTCACCGCACTTCTCGACTTTCTCTTCTTCAGCTTTCGACTGGTCACAGGAGAGAGAGAGAGTGAGTGAGCGGTTGGGTGGTGCATGTAACGAGACACCATCATTTCCCCCATGGGTGTGTCAGGGAGGCAGACAGCACCTGGAAGAGCTTTGTCAAGCCCAAGTGCAAGACGGTGGGGAGTAGCTGTGAGAAAGGCAGTGTGGGGTGACAAATGGAGGGACAGCACTGCTCCCAGCTCCTGTGGCTTCGGAAAACCACTGAGCCTTTCTTTGATGGCCTTCCTTGTTTTGTACAACGTAGCTATGCATAATCCTTCCTTAGTTCACCAACCTGTGAGCATCACTGGGGAAGGTCGACCAGTAGCCTCTAAGACTGGCTGCACAGGGAGGGGTTATGCCTTCATTTAAGGAACTTCTGTCTGTCTTACACAGCAATGATGTGAGGAGGTGATGAGGGGAAGTAACTGCTTCTGTGTTAAACCCACTCCAGAATGGGAGAGGCATTTGTTGTAAATCCTGGCTGTTGTGGGCCTGAGTGTAACTGGATGTAGCTCTTTTAAAGGGATTTTCTTTAATCGCCTGAGTATTTCTCTGGGATTACTGAACCATTTACAACTAACTGCATTAGGAATCAGAGTGTAGATCACGGTGGATGTACTTCTAGGACGTGCCACCTGCAGCGTAAACCCCTGGGGGGTGGGGTGCAGTTCCACCACACGGGGTTATTTGTACCTAAATCAAGGTCTGGGCAGAACTCATAATCCAAGAGGGTGCAAGGATCATTTTCAACCTAACCCACCGACCTCCTCAACACCCCATTTTAAGGTTGTAGTTTTCTACTGTGGACTAGTTGACTAACTTGAAAATATCCATAGAGCAGGTTTAACAAATAGGCTCTACCCGTGGCTTTGGCATCTGTTCTAGTTTCCTATAGAATAACCTGTGCAGAAACAGAGAGCTTTCTGTTTTTGTTATCTCTCAGTGACAGCCTACTCGAGACAGAGGAAAGTCCCACAGTACAGAAAAACTCCTCAGTTCAGGGTTGTGCGAGGCCTCCCGCGAGCCAAGGGCCTCCACGTAACCAGACGGTCCTCCCCATGACACTCAGGCTGGTGGGCAGTGACACGCACAGCAACAGCCTCCCTTTTCCTCTCTGGTCTTCATATTCCTGAAATGTCTGAACTACCTGCTTGGTGTGTGGGAGCCACTGAAACACACTTCGTAGAAGTAAAATAGCTGACCCCCATGCCTACAAATGGGGGAGATGGATTGGTCGGAAAGGCAGAGCAACAGGGAAACGGGAAAGACAGAGATCTTCCATTTGCTGGTTGACACCCCCAGTGCCCACAGCAGCCGGGGCCGGGTCAGACCAAAGCCAGGAGCCTGGAGCTCAACACGTGTGTCCTACACACGTAGCAGGGACACAGCACGGCTGAGCTGGCATGGCTGCCACCAAAGGTATACACAGCAGCAGGAAACTGGAGTCAGGAGCGTACCAGGTGCTAGAATACAAGACGTAGGTGCCTTACACAGCATCTCAGCCATCAAGCCAAACACCCGCCTGGGCATCCTCAATCATGTTTCTGACCTCTCATTACATCTGATGTCCATCACTCTAACATTCTCTCAGTCCTAGAGATGAGATCATGTCTGGACTTCCTTCCCCATATTTAAGGTCTTATTCAACCACGCTAATTCTCTGTGGCAGATAGGGTGCCAAAGTGTTGGTCTCTCATGGCCACCACAGCCCTGGCCTCCTGACCCCCTACCTGGAGACAACAGGGCTCCCCATGACTCCCCTGCCTTGGCCCCACACATCTCATACAGTGGTCAGGTGTTAGCCTCGGTCTAGCACATTACTTGGTCCTGATGGACAGGGACGGCCTCTCCTGCTCCCCGGCGCGCTGCATCACGAAGGTTCTCACTCCATACGATGGCCGGGGAGCCCTCCAAGAATGTCGAAGACAGAAACTGGCCCATTCTGGACTGGGGCAGCACCAGACCAGAGAGCTGTGGGCAGTGAGGAAGGTGAGCCCCTGTCTCCAATGACACCCAGCAGGAAGTGACATCAGAGGCACGGGCATTGTGACAGCAACAGTGGCCACTTCCACGCTCTATACTGATAGGCTCTTGAGCATTCCGGGACATCTATTCAGCCTCCCTCCCCTGATGCCACCTGGTTGGCCACAAGCCACTCTGCTTTCCTTCCTCTTTCCTGTCCCAGCAGGAGAAACCCATAATTTCATAGAAAACTCCCCTCCATCAAGCTTGCTTGGGCTCAAAGGCCTTCTAAGACCTCAGAGTTAGGGGCTGGCCTTGTGGGACAGCAGGATAAGCTGGTGCTTCAGATGCGGACATTGTATAGAGGAGTGCTGGTTCAGGTCCCAGCTGCTCCACTTGAGATAGCTCCCTGCTAACACATCCAGCAAAGCAATGGAAGATGACCCCAATGTGGGTTCCTGGCTCTGGCCTGGCCCAGACTTGGCTGTTGTGGTCATCAGGGAAATCAATTAGTGAATGGAAGATCTTTCTGTCTTTCCCCTTGTTCTGCCTTGCAAATCAATCTTTTAAGAAAAATATCTTTGAGACAGTCTCTCATTAGTATCACACGGAAATGTGCAGGGGCTCCAGCGAAGAGTCACACTGCCTGGTTTTGTTCTGAGACAAACCTTCCCACCTCTTCCCGCCTCCTGATCATTTGCCTTTTGCAGGCTGTCTCTTCCTCTCCTTACAGAGCTCCGGAAAGCACACACAACACAGACACCCCACTCTCCTCCCGTCACCTGCTAGAGGCGGGTGTCCCTTCAGCCTCGGCAAGGAGGTGGGCATTTGTTTTACATAGTAAAGCTCCACTCGGTGGCATGAGGTATGAGAGGAGCACTCAGGTATGCTTTCCGGGTGCTCACTGCCCAGCAACAGCCAGCTGCCTTCACTGAACACACAAAGCTAAGGCGTTCACGTGACCAAAGCTTGGTGACCATTCTAGACATGCAAGAGACACCCAGTCCTGGAACCTGCAGACAACAAGTCCAAGATCAGTACCTCGGCCACTTCCTTAATGGAGCTGAGGTCAAGCTCAGGTTCTGGTATCCGGGTGCCCAGCGAAGCCGACAGGGCCTCCAGTGCTTGGTCGCTCATGGCATCCTGTTAAAGAAAGAAAAAAAAATACATTCTATGCATGACCACAAGAGGGTATCTCCTGGGCCTGAACGAGCTACTGTCTTCCTTGTGAAACATCAAGTTGAGAAGGCGAGCTATGTACTGGGCAGGGAACTTCTGGAGGGTGCTTTCATTAAAGAAGACAGAGATGAAGAAGGACTTACCAGTAGTGAATGAAAACTGAAGATAAGACAGGCCTCCCTCTGCTGGGTGGGACAGGGCTCCCGGGGCGCGCTTGACCCGCAGTTAGCCAGCCAGAAGCACAAGCATGCCAACAGCCAAGACACCTCAGAATCCTCCCATTAGAATAAAAGCTCTACATTGGGAATTTTCACTACCTAGGTTTCTTTTTTTTTCTAAAACTGTCTCCAAAAAAAAAAAAAACAAAACAAAAAAACAAAACAGCTTTTGGCAGCCTCTAGCAGCAGGGCAGCCCCACGTGGCCCCTCCTCTCCTCCTCTGAGGGCGCAGTGGCTGACGGGATGTGGGGTGCAGGATCCTGTTTGGTGGGGTGGGGCACTCCCCACCGCTGTCACAGCGAGCCAGACAACAGATAAGACATTCAGCAGGGAGAGGCGGGAGCAGCTGCTGATGCTACTGCTGTTGCAAACTACCCAGGCTGCCTGCAGATGGCGCTGGAGTCAGGATTTCCCGGAACCAAGTCACGGGAGCAGCTGGGAGGGCACTGAGTCACCTGCAAGGCTCCCCGCCCTCCCAGGAAACCAAGCTCTAGGCTGACCGTGGCATGGAGTGGCCCTGCTCTGGTCTTGGCTGTTCCAAGTACGGTAAAAATGAGACTGGCCCTGATCATGACTGGGAATGCTATGCTTAAATCATTCACGAGCACTTAGAGAAACAGGAGGCCTTGCGGGAAGACGATCGAATGGCGCTACTGGGAAATGGGCTGCTGGGATTACCCTCCCCCAAGGAAGCCAGGTCAGGCTCAGGCAATGGCAGGTGCACCAGGGCTATTCACAGAGAAGAAACTGCTTATACCTCCTCCACTTTTCTTTTCTTCTCTTGGGGTGGGGCTGGACTTTTTATTACTTTGGCTGATTCGGCTTTTAAAACCTCTCCTTCAGATTTCTGAAAGATAAACAGGGAAGAGCGGCGTATGGATAAGGGACATGTCATCTGGATGAACAAGCTGTCATTTTCCCAAGTACAAGAAGGTTTCAGACAGGTTCTTTACCTCTTTCTTGGCTTCCTTCGCGCCGGCAGTGGGAGAAGGGCAGGTGAAGTCGGACGACAGGGCGTCGATGGCATCGTCGGGTCCCATGGACTCCTAGGGGAATACGCATGTGGAAATCAACTGTGAGACAGCGCACCCAACAAGCCCAGCAGATGCAGGAGGGGCTCCTGCAGTTCCTCTATTCCTGACGGCTCAGTCTCACTGGGGCTGGAATTGGCTTGAGGGAAGGGGGTCTCTCAAGGCACTGCTTCCTGTGGCCTGTCCCCCGGGGCACTGCCCGCTGCAACAGTCAGGTTCCACTGCTGTCCATGCTTTCCAGCTCCCAGCTGGCTCCCTTGCCCTTCCCTCAGGAAAATTACAAAAGATTGTCCCAAGACAGCCCATGCTCCTAAGCTCTTTGAACAGATTCCATCTTAGATATTTTTTTTTTATCATTATCCCAAATACAAGCTTAAGAGCTGTAGGCCCCTGCCCAAACACAGGAAAAAGGAGCAGACAGAGTTTTTAGAAGACATTGATGACAACTCACCGAAGAGTCTGGTGGAGGCACCGCGATCCCTGCTTTTTTCTGAAATGAATAATTCGAGACATTGAGAAGGCAGAACCAACCCTAGTCTCTGGCAGAATGCACTGCATGGCGGATGATGCAGAGTTGTGTTCCTGTCCACACCCTCCAACCCCCCAAGTCCCACGGTAAAATCCTAACCCCCTGGTATCTCAGGATGAAAAGATACTGGACTGAGGGTCCAAGTAAAGGCAGGCCTTCTGGGTGAGTCCTAACGCAACACAGGTGGAGTCCTTGTGGAAAGGAGAAATGGAGACCCAGGGATGTACCCAGAGGACCCCTCCCTCACTGCCCACATTGGGGGTGAGTCCTGCAGATACCCCGACGGTAGACCAGCAGCCTCCACAGCTGTGTAGACCCTCTAGCCCCACTAGAGGGCTCTGTGAACTTTGCACTATATTGCATGATCTATTATTCATCTTGTAACACATGATGTCTTTCCCATGTTAAATATGATGAAGGTATTTGGTAGAGAAAGCTATTCCAAAAAGGAAACTGTCAAACAAAGCTTACGGCCAGAAGCTCTCTGTATTTCGGAGGAATTGTAACTTCTCTTTTACCCAGTTCTTCTAGATAGGTGGAAATCATGGGGTCCTGGAAAAAATCACACACACAAGGCTATTAAATAAAGAATCCACTGAATCTATTATCTGCGTAAGTCTAAAACTAAAGTACTACCCCACTGCTAGAGAGGAAACAAAACCATTAAGAACTCAATGCACAATTCTGAGGTTCTAAGTTTACACAAATGCCCATAATTTATTCCAGATGAAACAGGCTAAATATTATGCAATTCTGCTGTAATGCCAGAAAACAAACACTGAAGTTGACTCCTAGATTAAAAATATATTTAGCTTGCAAATACTTTCATTATCTAATGTTTCCACGCCATCCAGAGGAAGAGTAAGCCCACCATCCAGCAGGATCACATGCAGGTGTCTTTCACGCAATCTTTCAGGAGAAAAGAAGGAAAACCTCAGGGCGGATGACACCTGCTTAGCCCTCTCTAGTCCAGTTGCCCTCCCTGCTACCCGCAGGCTGCCAGCGCCTTGAACTTATGTGTGCTGCACCCTTCCATTTAAGGTGGAGCACATTGAAAATGTTCATTACATGTGTGGGTATTTGTAAATACACAGAACTACTTTGCATCTTTTCACACAGTGCTTAATGGCTATCATACTGTACCTGCCACTTTGTTTTTATTCAAAATTAGGTTTCTCTAATGTAGAAAGATACATGAGTATTTGATCTGATGCGCTATTGAGCACCGTGGCATCCCTCCTCTGCAGGACACCACCCCGCCCGGTGTCTGTTGTTCCTGTAACTTGTGTGCACCCAGGCATGGCTTGCGCCCCACCCCCTGAGGCAGGCTTCTTGGTTGAGGGGATGCATGTCTTCCTCACCCAACACGATGAGGCAACTGTCAGACTTTGCAGTCCTATCGGCCTGGCACGTGTGAAGCAGTTCCTCTCCAGCTTTTCACATCATTTCCCCAGTCAATGGGGACATCTGTCATTTTACCTCTTTACCAGGCAGTCAAGTTTCATCCCGTTTTTCTGTTCTCTTGTTATTTCTTAAAAAATTTATAAACTCCAGAAACAAATCCCTTGTTTCATCTGTTGCAAATATTTTGATCTAGCCTGGTGTGTCTCTTTCTTAGCACAAAGCAACATTATTTTCTACCTTTTTTAGGAACTAGGAATCAGAATGCCTTGAGAAGACTGTAAACACATCAACATGAACTTCAGTTGTAAGATGGTAAATATCTGGAATTAGCATATCGTCTTGCCCATCGGTCTTAAAAAATCTTAAGGACAGAAAGTCGTTAGGACCTAACAGTCCCTCCCAGGAAGAGTCTTGGCACAAGACAATCGACAGATGCTTGTCGAGTCACTGTCGAGTCTAAGTCAAATCCTTCACCAACTACATCTGCTGCCCCATTACCCTATCCTGCCTCCAGCCAAATGGCTGCGTGTTCTCTCACACGTCACAGCCACTGTTGTCTTCCTTGTCCTCTCACCCTCTGAGTGTGAAGTTTTTTAAAGATACCAAGACCACATACTGAGATTTCTGGTCCTGTGTACGGCGTAGTATCTTCATTTGTCTCGCCAGGATCTCCCAACGTGTCTATTAGGTCATCCAAAGCAGCATCCATGTCTGACTGGAAAACAGACAGCAGAGAACTCCATGTTATTTGCTTTGTCTATTTTTCATTGAACTATAAAACACAAAGCCAATTCATGTAGCCAAATAGTGGAAACCAAAAATCGTTCAAACGCCATACTAGCCAAGATCTGGTCTTGCACAAACTATTAATATTTAAGTCTCGGAGTACATATTCTGGGTTAGAAAGACAAAATACGCCTAAAGACACTAACTATGTAAACAAACGCGTGAGTTCATTAAAACATTGCCAATCCAATGAGCCAGCAGCTAAAAAGAAAAAAATACAAATGGACCACAAGGAAGTGTGGCAGTGGTGTTACAATCAATAGGCAAAAATGTTTCCTATTTATTGCTTATTAACAATTGTCCAGAGTTTTATACTAAGAATCCCAATAAGATATTAATATGACATCTGCTCCAAACAAAATGTCTTAAAAAATGGATCGTTGGGGCTGGGCTGGCATTGTGGTGTAGTGGGTAAAACCACTACGTGCTATGCTGGCACCCCATACAGGCACTGGTCCACGTTCCAGCTATTTCATTTCTAATCCAGCCCCGTGTTAATGGCCTGAGAAAAGCAGCAGAGGCTGGCCTGTGTGCTTGCTGAGATGAGGCTCCTGGCTTAGCCCTGCCAGGCCTGCCTGCTGTGGAGGGAGCCAGCACATGTTCTTCTCTAACTCTGACTTATAAACATAGATAAATGAATGCATGGCTTGGTGGGGCCAGCATGGTGGCACAGGGAGTGGTTAAGACCCTGCTTACAACATGGGCTTCCCAGAGCAGAGGGCCAGCTTAAGCCCTGGCTGCTCTGCTTCAGATGTGGCATCCCACTAACGCATCCGAGAAGGCAGCAGATGATGGCACCGCCCCCAGAGGAGACCTGGGTGGCCTCCCGGGCTCCTGATTCTGACCTGCACCAGCCCTGGCTACTGCAGCCATTTGTGGCATGAAGCGGCAGACAAAAGACTTCGCTCTTTGTTTTTCAGTGAATGAATGAATCTTTTAAAAGTACTGATTCATATTCCTTCACACATTGATGTGCTTTTGTTCACTCATTTGCATGAAAACGTTTACCAAAACCAGAACTGACAGTTTATCTCGTCTGGGATTAGACCTGGTTCTCCGTGAACAGAAACACAGATCCAAAAGGGCACACCCGGCCTGGCCAGCGTCTGTACCATGTGACTCAGACAAAAGACTGCCTCAAGTCTTTTCAGTCCCACAGTCCTCACCCACACGCGGTGGTGGAGGCACAGAATGGAATGTGAGGTCAGAGACTTTCGGGATGGAGCAGGAAAGAGGATCCTCACACTCCTGAACAATAGCAGTGATTAGAGAGGCTGCACCGTGCAGAGGCTCGTGGGCTACAGGACTTAGGATGGCGGCCGACCAGCTCCCAGTGGAAGGCCAACGCCATGGGATGAAAGCAGAGTTCACCAAACAGCGTCCTGACACGCAGTGCTCACGGACACCTGTGTCCAAAGCCCACACGCGGCCCAGGCCTGGGAGCTCCACACAGCAGCTCATGAAGATGGTCCCTTCTGAGAGCCCTCGCGCTGTCAGCCCACCAGATGTCCCACTGCCGTTGGCACAGAGCCCAGGGATGGACGGACGCCTTCTGAGGAGGTACAGTGCTCTCCTCCTACCTTTCCGGACGGCTTATCCGGCTTTGGTTCGGCTGGTGCAGCGGCCGCCAATGGTTTCTTTTGCTTCTTCTGGGGGGAGATTAGAGAAAGAAAAACTAAGAGGGCATACTTTAAGATGCACTCACAGTAGGACAGGAGCAAAGGCCGTCTGCTGAACGCCTGCCTGGCGGCCACCAGGCTGGAAGCTCTTGCATCATTTCCAAGAAAACTGCTCAAGACAATTTACTGCTCTCACTGAGGGAGGGGGAACAGCCCTCAGAGCCGAAGCCATTTCTCTGTTACCCAGTGTGGGGCGCAACCCCAAGTTTAATCCATCGCTGTCTTTCTTTCCACCTTGCCCGGGGCACACAGCCAGCCTTGGCAATACCCACATTTTTCCTGTGGCTCCCACTTGGAGATGTAGCAGCCTGGCTGGGTACCTCCACACCTCAAGGCCTCCACCCTCCTCATCCTTTCTCAGGCATCTTACCACCTGCTCATTCCCTTATTTGCCAAAAACCACTTCCTCTCCCTCATGACACTGTTACACTTCCTCCATCCATGGTTCACCAATAACCTTGCAACCTGTGACCCTCATGCCCTTTAGTGGCATAACTTTAACACTGGGCACGTGGAATGGCATCTCTCCTCAACTCTCACAGGTGCCAGGACCCAGGGCCATGCTGTCCCTTCTCTGGCCTTTGTGCCCCTCCCCAATCTGCTTGGCATCTCCTCTACTCTGTCTGCAGTTGCACATACTCCTTAATCCCTGCCCTGTGTTGGGGGGCAGGGGAGGGCACAGCTGTCCCAGACCCTTCCCTAGGGCCAGAGCCGACACTCTCTGGGCTTGGCTGGAATTGCACGCCTTGGGGCTGGTTGACAGGTCTCACCTGAAGGTCTACACACTCCAGCAGCAGAGCAGACCAGGGCTCTGACACCTGCGTCTGTACCCCGGCCGGGACACACGTGGTTGCCCAAGCCCCTGGCAGGTGCTTCTTCTATCCCTTGGCTTTGCTGCAAGGTACAAAACCTTCTCTCCCTTGGGCATTGTGAGGATTAACTCAATGAATTGACTGTACAGAAACCAGCGCCTGGCACTGGCTAGGGGCTCTGTAGGTACCTGCTCCATGGTTAAGTGCTGAAGCCAGGACTGCTGTGACTGTGGTGCTAATATGCAATGCCTGTCACGCCCTTCTTCCTCCAGCCCACGTCTGTACAATGGAAACCACTTCCAGCACTCAATCAGCAGTGTGCGTGGACGTCTCTTCTGATGCTTGCCTCACCTTCCTCCTCTTCCCTCTTCTCTCTCTTGGCCTCTCTCCATACCTCTGTCTTTCATGCTACCACAGCCAACAGTTTAATGGCCTTGCAGAACATCCTTCTCTGAACATCTCAGACACTTAAATACAGCCTGCTTGGGATATAAAACATCTTTCCCAATTTTCTCTTGTGACTTCTGTCCACATGTCAGATATGATCAGTGACTCAGGGACAGGCCTAAAAGTGCTGGCTCACAACTGAAGGAGGCAGATGCTCATTTTCAGAGTATCCACTTGCGTGTGCTTCACTGTGAGTTCTGCCCTAACTTTACCTGGATGCCTCCTGCCTTACTGAGTGTTGACCAATCCGATTCCATCCAAGTCAGATGTGGGCCCCAGGTCAGGTGAGATTCGACTTGGCATTTGCCCAACGTGGCCAACTGTTTCTGAAGATTTTATCTCTGCAGTGCCTCCTGCCTCCCTTCCTCCATGCTTACATACCACAGCCATCATGCAGGCCAGCAGGTTGACAACTCACCGTGACACAGGCCCAACCAACCCTGCCTTTGGCTGTCAAGCCCTCCCATCCCCAGTGTTACGGCTTGGTCCTTCTGCAGCCTGGTGTGGAAGGCATCACTCCATCTGCCCCACATCTCAGCAGCTCAAGCACCACCTGCTAGGTCTCCAGGGTAGCATCTGACCTGTCTTTCTGGTCTTGCAGCCTTGCCACACACGGCTCACCCAGGAATGTGGTTTGGCCCCAGAGCACATCTTTAACCTCTCATAACTTCTGTGTCTTTGCAAGCCTGTGTCCCACTGGGCTCCTTCCAGAAGCAGCTCACATTGGAGCTGCTCTGGCCAAGCCCCTGAATCAAACAGGACCTTTCCTGCTGCACCAGCAGGGCACTGCAGAGGAGGCCTTGCTAGCCTGCCTTGGGCAGCTCCACCAGCTCTATCGTCCTCTCCCCACACCAAGAACAGGCTTTGAGCTTGTGTGTTGTACAGATAGACATGGGGTTTCAAACCCACTGGGCACTGAGAGAAGGTAGCCAATCTGATCAATTCTATCAAATGGGAAACCTGAAGCAAAGAAAAGTGAAACAAGCTGATACAAGCTCTGGCCCAAACCAGCACACAACAGAATTCTACACAAGCCCTCTCTTGGTTTTACTGTGGAGCTTCCACTGATAACACTGGTTCACACAGGGCCAGCATGTGGTAGCCGCGGCTAAGACATCCCATGGGAAACCTACATCCGACACAGGAGTGCCTGGTCCGAGTCCCTGCTCCTCTGTGTCTGGTGCAGCTTCCTGCGGATGTGTACCTGCTAAGGCAGCACATATTTGGTACCTGGTCCTTGCCGTCCACATGGGAGACAGGAATTGATTTCTTGCTATTGTAGGTATTCGGGGGAGGGCAGCCAATGGATAGGAGATGTCTCTTTGTCCTTCCAATACAAATGAAAACAAATCAAAGTTTGTGGAGAGCAAGCAGGTATTTGGTGCAGCAGTGAAGTTGCCACTTGGAGCATCTGCACCCTAGGCCAGAGGGCCAGACCAAGCAGTGACTCCTCTGGTTTGATCTAGCTCATTGCTGCTGTGCAAACTGCGACTCATCAGATGACAGTCCGAGATCTTGGGTCTCTGCCACCCCTGTGAGGGCTTCAGGCTCCCAGCCTGGGTCTGGCCTAGCCTTGGTGGTTACAGATATTTCAGGAGTGAATCAGCAGCTGGAAGTCTTCTGCCTGCCCCCCATTCTCTCTGTTCCTCTGCTTTTCGGATAAGATGAAAGCATAACAAAATTACTGGCTATTTTCTACCTAAACTTCAATTTTTTATTGCATGTAAAAATCTATTCTAATACAGTTAATCCTACCGAAAATCTATCCAGCACACGCGTGTTCTGGAAAGGGCTTTCCAGGCCTCCTTCGAAACCCTTCTTCACCCGTTTGTACTGACATTATTTTGGGCTGGGATTTGCCGGGATCAACAGAGCTGGGGCCGACACTCAAGGCTGAGAGTGAAGCTAACTCAAATGCTCCTGGGAATTTTATTTGCATCATTTCACACTCTAAGCACACAAGGCAGAGACTGAGCTGACTCACACCTGAACTTCCTAGGTACTGTCAAAAGTCCTTACACTTCATGTGGCCAGTGCCAACCCCAAGTTTACTGGCCCTACGACCTTGAAAACCACATTGATGTCTTATTCACTCTATGTCCCTTAAATGCATGCTCTCCATCAAATTTTAGCTTGAAGCAGTACCCAGTTGTCTCAACGACAGGTTAGCTCAGTACACTCTGCCTATAAAAGAAACATGATGGGCCCAGATTTCCACTTGCTCGTGTGGACTTACCTGGTCATCTGGTTTTCCAGGCGTCGTGGTTATCCCAGCAACAACGCTCTTCTCGCCAGCAGATATTGTGTCCTGTGGTTTAGTCTAAGAGTAGGGATCAAATATTGACAAGACTAAGTTATCTGAATGACTGTTACTAAGCTGAGAAGTTTCAAATGTCACCAGCACCTGCCAGACGGCGCTCAAGGACACAATGAGAGAGAAAAGCTTATTGGTTTGGGTTGCCTTTCTTTCAATGCTGAATCCCACGTGATGCTTGATGGGTAACATGAACAGGCCTATCAGGTCAGGTAGGCACCGTGGTCAAACTGGAGCACATACAGCAGGTGTGATGGCTCCAGCTGAACGTAGCCATGCAAGACCATTGTTTCTAGGTCTTCTACTTCAAGAGAAGCTAGAAATCAGCATCTTACGTGAAATCTCCTGATTTTAATTCCTGGCCATTAATTAAAAATAATTCTTTGGGTCAACACAGTGAAGCAGTGGGTTATGCCTCTGCTTGCCACCCTGGCATCCTGGAACAGAGCAGTGGTTCCAGTTGCAGCTGCCCTGCTTCTGGCCCAGCTTCCTGCTAACGCACCTGGGAAAGCAGAACACGGCCCCGAATGCCTGGGCCCCTGCTCCCTATGTAGAAGACCTGCAATGGAGCTCCTGGCTCCTGACTTCAGGCTAACTCAGCTATTAAAAACGCCACTGTAAGCCAAACAATATTCACATATGGACACATTTAACCAGTGGGTCAGATATTACGCTCAGGCATGCACTACTGTGAGCAGGCCGACTTCTCACCCCCCATGCCTGCTCACACAGTTCTAGACATTTACGTGGCTCAAAGCCAACTCCCCTCAGCTGATTAACTATGCAATCAATTTCTGATTCGGGGCCTGTCAATTTCTCTCTTCCGCAGCAAACCTCTGTAAATGCATTCTCTCCCCAAAACGTCTTGAAGACTTGTACTCAGAGATATATAATGCAGAACATATTTCCCCAAGCACACACGCCGAGGGTCCCAGGGGACAGCCTGTCCCTCAGGCATTCCTGCTGTGACACAGTGGAGCCTCCTGACTTGTGGGCAGGGTTGCCATTGTTGGGCAGCGCGAGGAGGGGGACGGCATACTTTGCCCACCCATGCCTACCTGCTGCCCGTCTCAGGCCTTCGCTGGCCTGGTTTCTACAAGCTATTTGCAAAAACAAAGTCTAATAGAACTGGAGCACGTCAATGCCAAGTCACCATGGAGCAAGTCCCACATCCTGGGGAGGAGGGAAGCCCCACGTCATTGGCCAGGGGAAGTCAGCGTCTTCTTGCCTTCAACCTGCTTTCTTTACCTTTGGCTCTGCTGCTTTCTCTGGTGTAGATGGCTCCTTCGGTTCTGCAGCCGTCTTCTCCTTAGGACCATCCTTGCTTCCTCGCTCGGACGTGTGTCTAGAAGAGCTTTTTGGCTGAAAGCACACACGTTTCATGCACACAAACATGAGAGATGCTGTTAGCAATGTGGCAGCTTCCAACAGGACATGGATGCTTTTCCAGATAGAGCAAAAACTGCTCCTGATGGTGGTGCTATTTAGGATTCTGAGTTACATGAATCAGGTGGGTACAATGTTAGGTGATTAAAACTTCACTTCAAGGACAAAATTGAAGACAGTGCAAACTTGCTGTGCCCTAAGTTAGCAATAATCACGAGCGAGCTGTAAACACTGCTATTGCCACATGGTGGCACCATCTCGGCCGAAACAAAATAAAGTATGTGCAGCCATGCTGTGCTGGGACTGGTTAACCTGTGAGAGACTATAATTGCTCCGCACTCCACGCCGTCCCCCAACACTCACCTCGGGGTGTTCCTTCGGCTCAGCTTCTCGGGGCTTTTTCTCGGGACCCTCTGTCGTCTGTGAAAGTTAAAGGATTGAAAACTCAGGGACGTTGGAGCCCAGCTGCTTCCCTATCTTCCACTGGGCTCAAGACAAAACCCCCAGCTGTATCTCTGCTCTCTCAGATCAGAGAGGCAGGCACACACTGTGTGGCCCACAGTCACCCTAGTAACCATCTCCAGCAATGGTGGCCATCAGAGGAAAATGACCAGCTCATATTTTATGGAGGACCATGTCTTCAGATATGTGAATCTCTCTCCATGACCACTGGCTGTACTGCGCAACTCACATGGATAAACCGGTTGCTATCTACGCTCACTGTGATGACCACCGAGTTTGACAGTTTCTATTCTAGAAACTGAATCTGCCTTCACAGGAGTGTCATGGTTTACAATGTTCAGTGTTATGGTTTACAACGATTCCTCCTGGCTCCAGGCAGTGAGGGTCACATCACCAGGAAGCCAGTTCTTTGACGATACAGTAGATAATTTAAAGCATTTACATGGGGAGCAGGGCACCCTCTTGCACCCAGCTGCCGGATCCTTCACTCCACAATACACTGAGCAACCACTACCCGCATGGGCCAACAGGGGGCGTCGTGCAAAAATCAGACAAACATCACCTTTCATCCCTTGACCTCACCCTATCTCTCACTTTACTGCACTTCAGTCCAAAGTACCTCGGTGCCTCTGGGAGGAAACCTTAAGATCTTATCAGTTTAACTGCTTAGACACTCAAAAAAAAAACACAGTATGGCACCCTGCCAGGGAGAGACGCCTGTGCTGCCCAGAACCTTTGGGGTCCCTGTCTGTCCCTGGGAGGGAGTGGCTTTCACCATGAGTTTGAGAGGAAGTTCCCTAAGGCAAGTCAGTGCGCTCTCCTGCACACCCAACCCAGCTCGGCCAGCTTCCCAGCAGACCAGTGCCCCTTCCCCACACTACGCCTGCTGCCTCCCCGAACCATCACGTTTGCTCACCACCCTCCTCAGCCCGCCTCTGTTCCTCTTTGCTAAGACACTTACTTCCCCTCCAAGAAACAACACCCAGATTTCAAAATGCCTTCTCAAATAGTTTTCATCCATAAAACTTTTTATGGGTTCTCTTGTAGACAGTATGCAGACTTAATGTTATCCAATCTGTACGCACACCCTATATAATCCTATGCAAAAAGGCATTCCAAGAAACGGCCTGCATTGCTGATAAATCCCTTACTCATTCAGGAGCACGGATGTAGCAACCTGGGTGTTCATCATTGTTAGAAAGAACCTTGAGTAACTCACCAGCGGACATAGGTCACTTACCTGGGTTGGTTGCGACTTCTCTGTTTTTGCAGTCTAAATGAAGAGAAAAGGGAGAGGTGAGAGGAAGAAAGAGACATGATAGATTTTCTTCCACAAAGAAGTGCAGAAGTGCTGATCTTAATTATAAACTCGATGAGATAGGTTTGGTAGACTTTCGGAATGGAATTTGTCACTCTTCCGATAAGAGCATGCGAATCCTCCCGCCTCTCCAGTTTGTAACTACATCTTAACTTGCTGTATGCATCAAAGAGAAGGAAAAAGTATTCGTGTTATTATGACAGTTAATTAGCAAGCATGTGAAGTAAAAGCCTTCCTCTAAAGCTGCTACTGTGGTTGTCTTTTTTTTCAGTCGGGGAAATACTCCCTGTGAGTTCTGGTGATGTAACAGGATGATGACAAAATAGAAGGTACAGAAAGCAGTGAGACATGCTTGAGTGCTGGCGTGTGACTGACAGGTGGCTGAGCCCATGCACGGTCTGTGATGGGCTGGGACAAGCGGTGCTGAGCAGCTGCTAAGATGGCGATTAGTAAACAGAGATGCTCTTGGACAAGGCACCCGTCACCTGTCTTCTGTGTCTCTTCTTGTCAGGAGGATGCGGTCCTTCCACCTGTTTGTGGGTTGGAACAGCCTAATATGAAGAGCATAACCCCCAGGGTAACTGTGTTGGCCAACAGTCAAACACACTGTGTGTCAAGGTGAGGCTAAATGCATAAACATACAAAGAACCAGCTGACTAATCCATTGTAGCTACTCAATGTACCTGAGCCAAGGCTGTTGAAAAAGGTTCATGGAAAATGGAATTAAATATGTGATTATTTTGGTGTTGTATTTAAAAAAAAAATCCTTGCTGAGTTTATTCTTATTAAGCATTCCATGAACTTAAAAAAAAAAAAAAAACTTTCGAATAAGACCTACAAACTAAGACATACTAAAAATCTCAGTTCTACACAAATATTTCAGTTTGGGTTTATGTGTTTCAGTGAAGGCTGCCAGCAATACCATTCATTTCCGTTTCCTTTTCCTTCTCACATGTGACTACCTGAGTCATAATTTCCTATCTCTATCTCCAATGCCAGGGTTTGATGAAAAATAGCCAGAGGTGTTGTCAAAAAGTTTTCTGAAATTCTGTCAAGAGAACCTTAAAACAATCTTGTACACACCTAGTGGGTATGGATTTTTGGAGTGCAGGCCATAGTCTTGGTTGGAGAGATTTCATCTAAAAGACCTAGGAATCTTTCTTTCCAAAGGAGTGGTTAGATTTTAAATCAGTTCATGTGATATTTTACATAGTTTTAACTACCTATCCAAAAGTTACTGCTGTAAAAAAAAAAAGACCAATTCCATATGTGTATATATATGTGTGTGTGTAATTCTGTATAATTCTGTATATATAATACACACACACATATCTGTAAGATAACCAAACAGGAATAGGAGTTGAGTTCTTCAGAGATGACACATAAAGGCCAAGCCTTCCTGTCATTTTCCTCCCTTCCATCCAGTTAACATTATCACAAACTCTGTATTTTTCAAATTCCATTATCTGAACAGGCTAAAGTCAAATATCCTCTTAGTTTATCTTGTTTTGTGCTTACTAGTATGGGAAGGAAAGCAAGTTCATGATCAAAGAACTGTTTCTAAGGGTTTTGTTTTTTTTTTTTTTTTTGGTATGTTTTAGATTTTTTTACATTGACATCCTTGCTAAAGGATGTTTCCATTGACACAACTCTTTGTTAGTTTATGTAAGTGAAATCTATTAAATGATTAACAAGGAAAATATGCCAACTGGCATGATTAGAATTTATTAATAGCTCCCAATTCATAATTCCACAATCAAGGATTTGCACAGGAGAATTCTGCCACCCAAATTAATGCAAGCTCATCGAGAGGCTGTAATACAGTGTGCATTTCTGCCAGGTAACTGTCAAGTTTATCTTTAGTGGTGATGCTGAACATCATGATGATGCTGACAGCAACTAATGCCTATTGATCCCCTATTAGTTATTAGGGGATGTTCAAAGCTTGACTGTGTCAACTCAGACCTCATCACATTGTAAGAAAGCTGTTATTCTCATTTTCCTGTTGAGAAATTGAGGTTAAAGAATTTCAGTAATTTCCCAAGGCCACCACGTGGTCTCCTGGGTTCTGTTCTCAATCTCTGCTCTGTGCTCCTGCCAGGATTGGCCAATGATCTGTTCTAGGCACCAGCCCCTACTCCTGTCTGATACATGCATCTTATACAGTCCTGTGAGATAACTGTTAACACCTTCCTCCAAAGTACACTCTAACGGAACCAAAGCAAACAGCGGCTGTCCAACATTAACATCTGTGTAGAACAGGGATCCCAAGCCAGGCTGTCTGGTGACAGTATCATCATACAAGGTTCCCCAGGCAGGGCATCTTTCACCAGGACAAGAGACACAGAACACTAATTGGTTAGGCCACCAGCTGCAATGCTGGCATCTCAGAGCATAAACCCTATCTGCGCCACTTCCAACCCAGCTGCAGGCTAATGCATCTGGAAAGGCAGGGGAAGGCAGCCCAAGCACTTGGGCAATCTTCTGTTGCTTTCCCAGGTGCGTTAGCAGAGAGCTAGATCAGAAGTGAAGTAGCCAGGACTCAAAATGATGTCCACTGGGATATTGTAGCCGTAGGCAAAGGTTTTACCTGCTCAACACTGGCCCTGGGCTCCTTGTTTTGGCCTGGCCCAGGCCTTGGTGATACAACCCTTTGGGGAGTGAACCAGGAGATGGAAGAGCTCTGTCTCTTCCCTCTTCATCTACAGCTCTGACTCTCAAAGAAAAATAAACCTTAAAACAACAACAACAAATCAAACACTGATTGAGCTGTATCATGTGCCTGGAGAGCCAGGCTGCTTTCTACATGAAAACTGTACATCACGTCAAGGATATAGGCAGGGTGTTATATTGAACGAGCATCCATTTCCCAAAGCTCAAATGTCTGGAGAAACATGCTCGCGGAACTCACAAGCATCTAGGTGAGTCTAACTGTCAGAGGCATCAAACACTGGGACCCAGGAAGGTGACATGGTTAATCAGAAGAGTGGGACTGGACTCCACAGTGAGAGAGGATTTGGGCCAAAAATGGCCAGGCGTCCACCTGGTGACACCGCACTATGTGCATCCTGTTTCAATCTTCCTCTGGACTTTCCTCTCTTCCTCTGACTCAGAGGACTGCCAAGAATCGTCACGATTCAGGCTAAGCCATGGCCTGAGCCTGCTGACATTTGCTCTCAAAAGCACAGCACACTTACAGAGCAGTTTTCAAGCTAAGGCACGGGGGGTTGCAATCAGGCCACAGGTTAAAAGGAAACCAAAAGGAAAAGAACTCTGCTCTGGCTCTTATTACCTCTTTAGTTTTCATGGGCTCTAAGTTTACAGAGAACTCTTTCAGAGAGGCTTCTCCTATCATCTTTTATTTCAGGATTCAAGTAAAAGTTTTAGAAAGTAAGTTTGATATAAACAGGCAGTGATGGATTACATAATGTGCATTTTGGAAACAAAATATAAAAACATGTTATTATAACTGACATTAAAACAAGGGACAGGTGCTTGAATAGCACTTAAGTTGCCTCTTGGGGCGCCTGTAACTGACACTGGGATGCCTGGCTTTGAGTTTTATTTCCGTTTCCGATTCCAGTTTCCTCCCAACCCTGGGAAGCTCAGGTGTTGAGTCCCAGACACCATGTCAGAGACTCGGAGGGAGCTTCAGGCTCCTGGCTGCAGCCTTGCTCAGTTCTGGCAATTGTGAGCAATTGGAGTGAACCCAGAGTAGGAAATTTAAGAAATTTAAATGATTACTAAATGACATTTTTTGAGAGTTTACATAATGGGACAATATTGTTTCCAGATTCTTGCAATACTCTGAGAGCTGCTTAAGATGAAGGCAAGAGTACCTGCATAGGACTCAGCGATGGTGCCCCACTCCCCTGGGCTAGACACTACTGGGGCTGTATGGTAATGTGTCAGGCAGAAGACAATTTAAACCAAACAAACAATTTAATTGAATAATGATGTGTCTGGGCTGGCTCCTAAAGGAACTGAAGAACTTGGTTCAAGACATGAGGTGACGGTTCAGCGTGGTAGCTTACTGCCTCAAGTCCTTGCCTTGCATGCATTAGGATCCCATATAGACGTCGGTTCTAAACCCAGCAGCTCCACTTCTTATCCAGCTCTCTGGTTGTGGTCTGAGAAAGCAGATGAGGAAGGGCCAAAGTCTTGGGACCCTGCGTCCACAGAGGAGACACTGAAGAAGCTCCTGGCTTTGGATTGGCTAAACTCTGGTCATTGTGGCTGCTTGGGGTGTGAACCAGCAGATGAAAGATCTTTCTCTCTGTCTGTCCTTCTTTCTGTATGTCTGCCTTCCCCAACACCCACCAAAAAAAAAAGCCATAGGGCAAGACATAGCAATGCTACTGTTTACTCTCCTCCCGCAAACCTTTCCCAGCATCAGCACCCGGACAACATCACGACTTAAGAGAGGGTCTCGGGCTCCTTAGGCCAAGGGGTTCAGGACTGGGCTCACCCTGTATCAAACACATCATCTGAGCTTCTCCCTCCGAAAGGGCAGAGTATAATTATAATGAAAACCAAAGAGAGCTTGACAAGACTTTGTCCATACCCTACCTGACTCAAATTTCAGAAACAAACTTTGGGGGACATCTGATAACCAATGTCTAGTTCACTCTCTTCCAAGTTCACTTAACTGTAGCCTTTGTATGTTTTTTCTTTTTACTTTAAGGATTTATTTATTTTTATTAGAAAGGAAGATCAGATTTAGAGAGAGAAGCAGAGACAGAAAGCTTTCATCTGCTAGTTCACTCCCCAGTGGCCACAATGGCCAGAGCTAATCCGATCTGAAGTCAGGAGCCAGCAGCACCCTTTGGGTCTCCCACGCAGGTGCAGGGTCCATCCTCAACTGCTTTCCCAGGAGACGAGCAGGGAGCTGGATGGGAAGCGGAGCAGCTGGGACATGAACCAGCACCGATATGGGATTCAAGTGCTTGTAAGGCAAGGGTTTAGCCACTGAGCCATTGTGCTGGGTCCAACCTTTTTTGGTTTTATGTGGATCTTTAAATGTCCAGCATAATAAAACCACTGTAGTAAAGGTTTATGGTTTCATGTTAATTAAGAGGAAGGAAGGCACTTGCATTGACGATCTTCAAGGAAAACCCTCCGGCCTCTGGGACCATAAGTGACTGCCGGGGGACCCCTTGTTCCTGACCTACGTAGGGGTGTACAGGTGATGTCTGAGGTGAACACTGGGAAGCCATGTCTTCGCACCAACCAGGAAGGAAATGTTCATCCCCATCACTTGAGCTTCCAGGGACACAAACACATCTGTCTACAACCAGTCCACACTTGACAGGCTTTACAGCACGTGCAACAAATCAGCCTGGCCTGAGTGACCCTGGAAGGGCCCCTTACCTTGGCTCCCGTGGGATTCATGCTGGCGGGCTTGCTGGCTGCACCAGGGGAAGATGACACCTAGAAAGGAAGGAGGCACAAAGTTTGACTCCATGTAAGCCATGAGCTACGTAGTTCTTGGGGTTCTCTGCACCACACTGCCCATAGTTCTTCACCCTGCTTATACATGCAGCACCATGCATACAAACGGGGGCATGTGCTGTGTGCCAGACACTACTGTGCCATCCATACCCCGCAGTGCAGTGGCTGGGTTTGCTCACCTGCTCTGTTCCTCATTCCAACTTCCTGCTGACACAGATCCCAACTGGCAGCAGGTGATAGCTCAAGCAGGAGGGTTCCCATTATTTATGTGGGAGACCCAGATCGAGTTCCCAGCCCCTGGCTTTGGCCCGGCCTAGGTCAGGCTTGGCGGCGCCATTGTAGGCCATTTGCAGTGTGAACAGATAGGCACTTTGAAGTTGTTCACAACCAGTTTTTTTAAAAATCTATTTTTATTTGAAAGACAGATTTACAAAGAGAAGGAGCAAAACCTCTCTGGTTCACTCTCCACACAGCTGCAACGGCCAGAGCTGAACTAATCTGAACCATGGAGTTTCTTGCAGGTCTCTTACATGGGAGCAGGGACCCAGCCACTTGGGACATCCTCTGCTGCTTTGCCAGGTCATAAGCAGGGAGCTGGAACAGAGGTAGAGTAGCTGGGACACCAACCAGTGCCCATATGGGATGCCGATATTTACAGACAGAGGAATAACCTTGTTGAGCCACTGTGCCAGTCCATACATCCATTTTTAATATGTCTAGTAGGTGGTGTTGCCTATGTGTTACAAACTAGACCATATGGGTTCCAACTCCAATTGGCCTGTTTACTAAATAATCTATAGCAACTTATTTAAATTTAATGAGCAATTGAAGATCATAAATTTTTCCTCGGTGCAACTTCATAAATTTATTGTTAAGAATTACTGTCTGTTACATGTAAGAGTAAATATTAGTAATATTTCTTATTTTTAGAAAGCAGAAACACTTTGAAATTTGACAGAACTCTGCCCAAATCTTGGGCCTGCCAATTGCCAGCTCTGTGATTTTTGAGCTTCAGTTTTCCAGGTACATAAAACTGTTCCATAACATCTCCTTTGCAGGACTGACATAATGCATGTAAAATACCTGGCATGGTGTAAATGCCTGTTGAAGTCATCAGGGCACTACTCTTAACACAGCTCATAAGAATTACTAATGTACTATTCTTAAAATAGCAAAAAGATTCATGCATTGTTCCTAATAAAGCAAGCAAGGATATGACTCCAGGAAATAGACCAGGGTGGGCATGAAGCGCCCCTCTTGGGTTGTGTGAGGATGGAGAAGTGGGGGCGGCTGCAGTGGCTGCATCTTATCCTCCGCTAGACGCTCGGGACTGCCCCTCCCTCCTCAGGCTGCCCTGGGGCACCATGATATCGTCACAAAAGCAGAGGGCGACCCTTGTGCATGTGGACTCTTGCAGGCCCCTTGTGGTATTCTAGCACCTGACTTGCATCACACTGTTAGTATTAAATATACCATTGCCTTGGCAAACTCCAGCCCTGGTTCATTTAAACCTCCTGCAAACCGAATCCGTTGGGTCCCGGTGCCCGGGGATTCCATCTGGCACGCACTGCCATCTTAAGCAGCTGTCAGTAAGCAGCTGCTGCCCTGCCAACGTCACCAGGAAAGGCCTAGACCGAGGAGTGTTCTGAGTCTCTCAGGCCTGGCCCTGAGTCACTTCCCAGGCTGAGTCACCAGGCGCCAGGAACCCATCCCTGCCCTGCCTGCTCCCACTCCCAACAGCTGCCATCCAAAGGCATACCATTTATGTATGTCTGCTTCCACAATTAGAGTAGCTTGTACCCATTTCCACTTAAGCTCCACAAAGTCCCCTTCATTCCTTCAATGATCCTCCCTGCCCCCAATCTCGTAAAACCCCACTGAAACCGAACACTCCACGTAAACTTGCTTTATAGTCGGAAGATCTTTAAGAGAACATGAACTTACTTTTTCAAAACCCAGATTTATCCAAACGGGCATCCCATCACAAAGTCTTGAACTGCCCGAACTACCTCACTAATTGCACAAAGGAGATGGCTTTCAAAAGACTACTTGGAGCAGTGTACTCCAAGCATAGATAGGACACTGTGGGAACCAAGCTGATGGCCTTGATGGCCCCTGCTCCTAGCAGTCTTCTGTTCTTTATTTCCTAACCAAGGCACCAAGCATACCACCACCCAGGCTCTCTGATTTCTAAACCACGACCCTTGAGGCAGGGCACCGCTCAGTGGATCCTCACTTCCAGAGGCTGCCAGTTCCAAAGGGCATCACTGTTGCTGCTGACACCAAAACACCTGATTGCAATCAACAATGCCAGCCGACCAAAGGGCACTGTATAACTACACGCTTCCTCTCCACGGGCCCACGCAGGTCACTCCCCACCTACAGACAACCTGGAATTCAGGCAGGAATCAGAGCAACACACCCAGAGCCAAAGCACCTGGATACCGACCTCTCTCCTCTGACCCACGCAGCCCACTCCACAGCTGCTGGTGAAAACGCAGTGGGCTGGGGGTAAAGGATACAAGTGAGTCAAGCTCAAACATGGGAGGGGGGCTGGGCTCAGAAACAGAAGGTCTCCTTGCAACTTCAGTGCCCCCAATGGAAGCAAAAAGACCAGTGTGACAAAGAACAAGTCTGATGTCCTTGTCAGTTTCAGTCCCTCACTCCCCACCCAAACCATCTTTACAACATTGTCTGGCTGCAGTATACATCAATGCTGGTTAAGAGAGCTTCTGTAGGCTGGAAACAAACGAATAGTCAATCCTTGATTTAACCAATGAGAGAGCTTATTTTCCGTCATTAGTCAATAAAATCACTTAGACCTTGGGGCTGGAATTCGGCATAGTGGTTAAGACACTGTTGGGGTGCCCCACGCTGCCCATGCAGGAGTGGGGCTGGCTTTGAGTTTTGGCTTTGCTACCCATTCTGGCTTCCTGCTAGTGTGCACCTCAGGAGGCAACAGGGGATGGTCCAAGTGCTTGGGTCCCTGCTGCTCATGTGGGAGAGCCAGACAGATTTCCTGGACTCCCAGCTTCAGTGTGGTCCAGCTGTAGCTGGGGAATGAGCTTGTGGAAGTAACAAACAAATCTGAAAAGGGCTTCCTTCACTTGTAGCAGTAAGCAATTTGGAGCCTTATCACGTTGAGCAATCAGAGGCCCGAGGCAAAGCTGTTACCTCTGTGAGGAGCCCTGGAGGGTGAAAGTGTTTTCTTTCACCACATTCTCCCAGACTCCAGCCTTTCAGCTCGCCCAACCTTTGCCCAGGTCCACTTCCCCATGCCACTCCCTGCTCCTGTCTCCCTTAAAATGCCACCAGCACTGACTTCTGCCACCCACAGAACCCCTGCGTTGTCCCTGTGAAGCATCCCCTGTCTGAACCCCCATCTCCAATCCCACCCTCCCCCACCTCTGGCTCTGGCAAGCACGGACTTTCCAATTTCAGGGCCCATGTCATTCATCTCTTGCCCCATGTACCAGTCACACAAGCACCAAACTTTTCTTTCTAGTATCTAAATCCTTGCAGGTGAGTCTTGCCAGAAGCCAGCCCTGGCTCAGCTCCCTGTGGCAGCAGACATGGGAGGTCAGCCCAGAACCCTGATCCCAATGACCTTTCCCAGGCAGGGGCCGCCCCTCAGTCCTTACCCACTGGGGTCTCCTGCTGAAGCTGTCTGCAGCGGGGGAAAATGAAGTAAGACTCTGTCCCGACCACCTTGTGAGGAGGGGTTGGGGGAGAAGAGGCTTGGGAACTTGCCCTGTAGGTCCCCTTGACGCACCAGGGAGGCGAGGCAAGGCTGCGCTGCAAGGTCCACTCCATGATTCAGCCACCATGCAGTCATTCCCTCAGCTTCTGCGTGCCCTTCCTCTCCTGCTTGGCTCCCAGTCCATTCTAGGTGTTTCCGGCTGAAGCCGGGGCAGTCTCGGGCCTTCCCATGTAGCTATGCAGCCTTATCTGGATCCCACCTCCTGCCCACCTGTGGCTTGGCTCAGCGAGTATAGAGTGCCGGCAGCACGCCATCACATTCTCTCTCGTCTAGCCAGCCCTGGCTTCTTCCCCCACCTGGTAGCTGGCGGGCAGCCCCTTACCCTCCCGTCTGGCAACACCTGGACTTGCCTTTGTTTGTGGCAGGTTACTAAGATCCTGGTCAACAGCCCAACAGCAGTTTCGTTACAAAGCTTGACCCCTGCTCTCCTTGTTGAACTGCGAGCCAGGGTGGCTCTCTCCACATACCTCTGGCTCCTTTCCTTCTGGAAGTTTCTTCCCTTTGCTTACTCCTCTGTGCTCTTCAGTTTGGACACACCAGCCTTTCTCCTACATCATTTTGAGTCCTCACCCACTGCCAGCTGTGTCTTATTTCTGGGAGTGACTCCTCCTTGCACCACCTGATTGTACTTTAAAAACAGGAGGTCGAGGAAAGAGCAGATCCAGGCTTAAATCCCCGTTCTCTGACAAGTCTAAATCCAAACTCGTTACCTGTTGGCACCTCTGTCCCCTTGCCTGTAAAATGGGGGGGTAAGACCTCCCTGCTTGGAGGCGCCTTAAGGGAAACCACCTGCTTCGAAGCCCTGGATTCACACGCAGGAGCCGGCTCCCGTCTTCAGCACGGCCGAGTCCTTTTCATTTGTACTAACACCCACTCCCCGGTCTCATCACCCTGGGCCCACACCTGCATGACATCAGGGCCTTCTACAAGTTTCCACGCCTTGTTCCCGCTCACCTCCCGCCCCCATTTACCTTGTGATCTTGCTGTCTGTGGCTGCCTGACTCACCCTCCTGCAATCAATGTGCACGGCCTCTCCACGCTGACAGAGAATTCCGTGTGTTGGTTCATTCAAGTCCCACCTTTCCCATCACCTGTGTCTCTAACACACTCCTGTAGTACCTTCCCACCCTACATACTCACCCATCATACCTGCTGGGCTGATGGGCCACTGAGCTCTCCCTGAAGGCTCTGTCACTCTGCCTTTCAAATAATTTTTTTA